AATTGCCGACAAGCATTTGGTTTTCTTTATTTTACACTCTTGGACATTTTAATTTGCTGATAAATCAACAACAATCGAAGGTTTGTTCCAATTTAATATTTCCTGGATAACAATCTTATTAATGTAAAACGTCAGTCAGTTGCTTATCTTGACAATTTAATAGGGTTTACGATAATCCTGTTAAAAAACTATTTATATTCGCGTTCTCACGTTTAAAGAGAAAATATAATATAAAAAACTAAACTCTTATCTAAACGAATTCAAACATCAATAAATAATCATTAGCAAGACAATCTCGACCGTTTAATTTATACATATCTGACATACGGATCTTTTAAGATATCGTTGACAAATTTGAAGACAAAATATTCTAATAAGATTCAAATTAATTAATAAACCTTGATAAGTATAGTGGAACCTTAGAATCAATGACCCATTATTTTCAATACAGTTATTGTGACACCACTATCCGGCCGCACCCTGTACAATAAGGCAAAACTGCAACTGCTATATAATGTTACATAATCGCTTGTTAAAGTGCAATATTTATTTTTAATACAATTTAAAACGGCGTTTTATAAAATTATAGAATGTCGCTCCGTATGTCCGTGCTATAGGGATTTCTCTTTTTATTAGATGATGCTGATCTAATTTACGTAGTGATTAAGGATAGGAGTGTACAACTGTACCTATACAGGGTGTAGCAAGAAACTTTTGAAATTGTCAATAATATAACAAGTTTGAAGTCTGATTCTATAGAATGAATTATTTGAAGTACCTATATTTTTTGTTAAGACATTTTATGAAATGTTAGTGTATAGCACCTTGTATTCTACATTAATCTGAATTAAACTAGAAAAGTATGTGTTATTCTGTTTTTTGTAGCATAAAATTTTTATTCCCGGCTCTCGTAGAGCTGTACCTAATTGGAACAACGAAATGACGTTTAGTCTTCTAAAAGTTGAATTTGAATTGGGACGATGTACCTAAGAGGCTCATCAATTGAAGTGTTTTTGAGTTAGAGCAGTTTTTGATCCTAGAATTGCAAGGATTGAGTGCTAAAGTTACATTTAAAAGAATATATTTTTGAGTTGAAACTCTACCGAAGAAATATGAGCCACAAAACTCAATATTTTACAGCTCTAAAGGTTAGAATTTCTGCAGAGTCTTGAGGAGATGAAGATTAAAGATTTTGCCTCTAAAGAAAAGTAAGGAAGAACTGAAAAAGTACTGCTAAAGTTTGGAAAAATTTAAAGAAATACAAGCTTATGTGAGCAATATTTTGACATGAAGATACCGGACAAGAAAGTACGAGCAATATTTTTGTTAAGTTTCAATTAAAAAGTTCCTGGTCGGCACGTTTGAGGAAGAAATATCAAAAAGTCTTAATTAGTTTGAAGAAATCCGAGGATATATGAGAAATTGCAGCAGAACAAACAGGCAAAAATATTATAATTGTCATACCCTTTTTGATATTTGCTAGTTTACGTCAGAACATTTTATAAAATGTATACAGGGTGTGTATATAACACAAAATTTTACATTAGTATATTACTACACAATACTTGCCTAAATATTTTACATAAATCTTAAGCTGAATTCTGAATTGAACTAAAAAAGTACCTATGAAATTCTGTTTTCTGTAGCATAAATATCTTATTCCCGGCTCTCGTATTGAACTGGAGCGATTTGAAAGTCTGGAGAGTTAAGGCTCAACAAGAATCGTGTTTTTCCTGAAAAATTATGCAAGGGAAAATTATGAAATTTTTAAAAGAGAAAGAGGAGAGTTGGGGTTTCATCATACTAAAATTTCAAACTTTTCCAGCGAAAAATAACGACATGGGAAATCAATGAAAATCAATTTGCACAATCCAAATTAAGTAATAATGTAATTTCTTCTATTCCTGGCTCACTGGAATTTGGACTATTGAATGCTTATAGAAGTAGGTACCTAAATCAGGAGCCGGTAAACTTATCCTGTCTCTCCTAAAGTTGATATTTTGAACTCTAAATGTATGAAAATCCTACTGAAGCGGTTCAAAAATTATCATTTTTCTTTGACCCCCAAATTGGAAAACTTTAAAGCTAAATTTAAAGATATTTTTCAACCCTATGAAGCAAAAGCTCTACTGAAAAATTATGAAAATCCTATTAGGAATATTGCCATAATACTCAATATTCTATAGCTCTAAAAACATAAGACTGAAATCTCAAGATTTTAGAGCTTCTTGAGGAGCTGAAGATGAAAGATTTTGCCTCTACCCAAATAAGTACAGTGAAAGTATGCTCAATTTCAATAAGGAAATAAGGGAGAATTCAAAAATATTATTGCTGAAGTTTGGTGGAAGTTGAAGAAGTAACAGGAAATGTTTTTTTGTATGATTTTAATGGAAAAGTTCGTAGGAATGCGATAATCGACGCGGGCGACACACCTAGGGAAGAAATCAGGAAATCCTGGTAAGATTGAAGAATTCCTAGGAAGTAGGAGAAATTGGAGGAGAGAAATTCGAACAAAATCTGAGGAGACTCTTTAAACTCCCAGAAAACCTAAAGATTACAGGTTTTGAAAAGGATGAAAACTCTCAAAGATTTTCCATGAATGAGGAGCTTCTGAAGCTCATGAGCTAATGATAATCAAAATTTTTACCATTTTTCTTCAAAATTGTCATGTAACATATTCTATTTTGTTATCCTAGTAATACATTGTCCATTACTCTTTGAAAGGTTGCGGGAGCATTTTTTGATCCAAACGGTATTCTGTTAAATTTGTATTGTTCATTTTCAACATCAAATTAATGCCGTTTTTGGTATCGAATTTTCATTTCAAATGCCGGTAATAATCAAAATTAAATTTGAACTTGATTCCCTCTGGAGAACCTTAAAAAAATTTCAAACACAAAGAAATATGAAAACCCTATAAGGACTAAAGCCATGAAACTCAATATATTCTATAGCTCTAAAGACACAAAAAATCTCAAAATTTTGGAGCTTCTTGAGATGACGATGAAATATTTTGCCTCTACTCAAAAGGATATAAGGAAGAATTCAAAAGTTTAGGAAAATTTTAAGAAATAGGTACAAGGAAGTTGAAGAAAATAACAGGGAATGTTTTTGTAAAATTTTAATGGAAAAGTTCGTGGGAATTCGATGATTAACGGCATCTGAGGAATCAATCAGGCATTCCTGGTAAGATTGAAGAATTCCTAGGAGGCATAAGAAATTGGAAAGAAGTTCGAACAACATCTGAGGAGACTCTTTACACTTCCAAAGAACCTAAAGATTACAGGTTTTGAAGACGATGAAAACTCCTGAAGATCTTTGATGAATGAGGAACTTTTGAAGCTCATGAGCCGATAATAATCAAAAGTTAATAATTAAAAATTTTCCTATTTTTCTTTAAAGTTTTCACGTAACATATCCTAATCTGTTATCCTAGTAGTACATTGTCCATTACTCTTTGAAAGGTTGCAGGTGTATTCTTTGATCCAAACGGTATTTTGTTAAATTCAAACACAAAAATGATTGGCCTCATAATAAATACCATAAAATGTATAGGTACGGTGAATCTTGTTGCTGGTTTAAAATTTGGGAAAGTAAATCGTTACATACAATATTATTCCTCTCTGACATGGTGGCTCGTTATATGTTATAGTTTCGTGAGCCGAACTCTTTATTTTTATTTATGCCGTCATTACATCGCGGACGTAAGGACAAAGGGGCCGACGCGCGGCAATTTTCTTAAAGGCCCTCATTATCCGCTAATAACTCTTACCCGAAACAACTTTTACAAAAAATAAATCCCGCGAAAAGCGACTTAATTGGCCCCCGAGATCGCGCCGGGCTAATTTCCGAACAAGGATAATTTTGCGAACCATCGATTTATTTATTGAGAGACTTGTTTTCGGACATTGTAAGATTAAATTCTCGCTAACGACGGAAATAAATCAAAATGTTTATTGATATGTAGTTACAAATGGCAATATAGGAAAGTTATTAATAATATAGTGCCGTTCTAGTTTTTAAGCTCTTTGGCGGCTCGCGGACACACCCTTTGACAGCCAGCAAATGAGGTTTTCATAATTTCAGAAAAATGACCAAAAGAAAAAATTATTCAATATACATAATTTAGATCCACTTTCGATTCGCGTCTAGGCTCGTTTTTCGATTTCCTATACATGGACGTTACGCAATTCGCCACTTTATCTGTACAAAATGGAAATGTTTTTTTAAAGAGATTACGCCTCTGGTATCTTGATTATTCCGATTTTTTCGAGATTGTTCCTTGTGAACCAAATTCAAATAGATCAAGAAGAAGATAAGACTTGAATTTTCCAGCTAAAACTGCAATTTAAGATCAAATAGAACATCTTCCACCCTGTAACAAAAGTTAATTGTACACTCATTGAAGCGCCGCCTTAATTGTCTTTCTCATTGTCGGTAAATATTTCAGGAACTTTTTTTTTTTAATTCTTGAAATCGGTAACTTGAAGAGTCGCTTTCTATGGAAGTACTTGGCTATTTTTGGTATATTGAGTATAATCCGCCGGTGATAATCAAAAATTTTTGCTATTTTTCTTTAAAGTTTTCACGTGATATATTATATTTTGTAATCCTAGTAATACACTGTCCATTACTCTTTGAAAGGTTGCGGGTGCATTCTTTGATCCAAACGGTATTCTGTTAAATTTGTAATGTGCATTTTCAACATCAAATTAGTGGGTTTAGTATCGAAAGACATCATACAATACAATATATGGTAGAATTTTCCAGCTAAAATTACAATCCAAAATCAAATAGAACATCTTCCACCCTGTAACAAAAGTAAATTGTACAATTAATTGTTCTTCTCCTTGTCTGTAAATATTTCAAGAACTTTTTTTTTCAATTCTTGAAATCGGTGACTTGAAGAGTCGCTTTCTATGGAAGTGGTTGGCTATTTTTGGTATATTGACCTGTCCAAATTATATCCGCCTTTACTCAATAATTTTCAATTGTTTCAGAGAGCAACAGCTGTTCGGAGTGTTCGAATCGATAATATCAACCCTGGAAACAAAACTGCAACGAATTGAGAATTTGGATAAAGCAGTTGAGCATTTGATGAGGCGAGTCGAAGCTTTAGACTCCCGGGTAAACAATAACATCGACAAAACGGATTCAGTTATTTCCAAGCTGAGAAATTTGGATTCGAAGTTGTTTCAAACAGCCAACAAACCACCATTTGAAGCAGTTGACAATAAAGATGCTAAAGCTCTAAACACAAAACTCCTATCCCTAGATCAAAAAGTAAGCGACATTGATTCAAAGCTGAACATTTTAAAAAACCAGCTGGATAGCAATTATTTACAAAACGAAGACATTAACGTTGAAGCTAGCGAAAAACGTCCAGTTAGTATGAATGTTTTGGAAATAACCAAAGCCCTAAACACAGAAGTCCTCAACCATATCACCAAAGAACTAGGCCTGCTGAGAGAAACAACCAACTCCCTAGACAAAAAACTTCATTACACAACTGAAACATTAGGCAAAGCCCTTGCCTTAGTCTCAGACATTCACCATGCAATCGTAGAAGACCATCAATCCACCAAACAAACAACAACTACAACTCAAAAACCAACAACAAGATCCAGCAAAATCGACAACCTTGTCCAGCAAATGAAACCAATGATATCAGTGTCTGAAAAAATGGATGAAGTTTGGAACGTTGTTGTAGGCACCAAAAGCTCCGTGGACGACTTAGTACCAAAGTCCGATGAACTTTTAACTCAAACCCAACGACAGGAGCGTGCCATTGGTGAAATCCACAACGACTTACGCTCGAAGACTAACAAAATCATTGCCAACTTGGACAAAGTCGAAAAAAGGCTGAAAAAACAAGAGGACGATGTGGCAACTTTGGCTCAAAGACCCGTACCTGCCGATATACTTTTAGCTGAACCGGATAATATAGGTAATAAATGCAATAATTATTTAGATTTTTTATTTAATTGTTGTTTGGTTGCAGATTACGATTCTACAAGGTTTGAAGATGAAGATTTTGCAGACACTACAGCTTCTTATAGTACGGTGCAACCGCCAAGTTTTAATGAGACTAGTAATGTTACAACAACAACGGAAAAAAGGCCTGAGAAAAGGAAAGGTGGAGTGATTTTTCCCAGTGTCAAGAACAAGCCGTTGTTGAATAATTCCACGTTTGTGACATCGGATGTGGTGCAAAATGTTCGAGATATTAAGGTGAGAATTATTAGTTGCTGAGAGATGATGTAAATGTTAATGCTAGTAATCTCAGATTTGGTGTAGAAGGTTTCAATATTGATTCTAATGATTTAGTCTTTCTGGAAACATCTTTATCTATTTGAGGTGCCTTTTGAGTGGAAGTTGGTTGATCAAAGGTTATAATTGCTAGAGGGAACGTAGATGTTCAGCGTGTTTCCGTTTAGTTCCACCATGTATATCTACTATGTAAGAATAGGCTGTTTGTTTTACTATTGTCCCCGCTACTGAACCTTTTCCAATTGGGTTGTTCACCCAAACAGGTTGTTTTAAAGACGATGAAAAGTCTCAAAGATTTTCCATAAATGAGGAGCTTTTGAAGCTCATGAGCCGGTGATAATCAAAATTTGTCTTTAAAATTTTCACGTGACATATTCTATTTTGTAATACTAGTAATACATTGTCCATTACTCTTTGAAAGGTTGCGGGTGCATTCTTTGATCCAAATGGTATTCTGTTAAATTTGTAATGTGCATTTTCAACATCAAATTAGTGGGTTTGGTATCAAATTTTCATGCATTTTGAATCAAATGCCGGTAATAATCAAAATTTGAACAATTGAAGGCTCTTGATTCAATCTAGAGAACCTTAAGGTCAGTCGCATATACATTATAATAAATACTGCTTGAGGGAAATCTGGAACGTAGATGTTCAGCGTGTTTCCGTTCAGTTTCACCATGTATATCCACTATATAAGAATAGGCTGTTTGTTTTACTATTGCCTCCGCTAGTGAACATTTTCCAATTTGGTTGTTCACCCAAACAGGTTGTTTTAAAGACGATGAAAACTCTCAAAGATTTTGAATGAGGAGCTTTTGAAGCTCATGAGCAGATGATAATCAAAATTTTTCTTTAAAATTTTCACGTGGCATATTCTATTTTGTAATCCTAATAATACATTGTCCTTTGAAAGGTTGCGGGTGCATTCTTTGATCCAAACGGTATTCTGTTAAATTTGTAATGTGCATTTTCGACATCAAATTAGTGGGTTTGGTATCGAATTTTCATGCATTTTGAATCAAATGCCGGTTATAATCAAAATTTGAACAATTGAAGACTCTTGATTCAATCTAGAGAACCTTAAGGTCAGTCGCATATATATTATAATAAATACTGCTTGAGGGAAATCTTGAACGTAGATGTTCAGCATGTTTCCGTTTAGTTTCACCATGTATAATATCCACTATGTAAGAATAGGCTGTTTGTTTTACTATTGTCTCCGCTACTGAACATTTTCCAATTTGGTTGTTCACCCAAACAGGTTGTTTTGAAGACGATGAAAAGTCTCAAAGATTTTCCATAAATGAGGAGCTTTTGAAGCTCATGAGCCGGTGATAATCAAAATTTTTGCTTAAAATTTTCACGTGACATATTCTATTTTGTAATCCTAGTAATACATTGTCCATTACACTTTGAAAGATTGCGGGTGCATTCTTTGATCCAAACGGTATTCTGTTAAATTTGTAATGTGCATTTTCATCATCAAATTAGTGGGTTTGGTATCGAATTTTCATGCATTTTGAATCAAATGCCGGTAATAATCAAAATTTGAACAATTAAAGGCTCTTGATTCAATCTAGAGAACCTTAAGGTCAGTCGCATATACATTATAATAAATACTGCTTGAGGGAAATCTGGAACGTAGATGTTCAGCGTGTTTCCGTTCAGTTCCACCATGTATATCCACTATATAAGAATAGGCTGTTTGTTTTACTATTGTCTCCGCTACTGAACCTTTTCCAATTGAGTTGTTCACCCAAACAAATTGTTTTGAAGACGATGAAAACTCTCAAAGATTTTCCATGAATGAGGAGCTTTTGAAGCTCATGAGCCGGTGATAATCAAAATTTTTCTTTAAAATTTTCACGTGACATATTCTATTTTGTAATCCTAGTAATACATTGTCCATTACTCTTTGAAAGGTTGCGGGTGCATTCTTTGATCCAAACGGTATTCTGTTAAATTTGTAATGTGCATTTTCAACATCAAATTAGTGGGTTTGGTATCGAATTTTCATGCATTTTAAATCAAATGCCGGTAATAATCAAAATTTGAACAATTGAAGACTCTTGATTCAATCTAGAGAACCTTAAGGTCTGTCGCATATACATTATAATAAATACTGCTTGAGGGAAATCTGGAACGTAGATGTTCAGCGTGTTTCCGTTCAGTTTCACCATGTATATCCACTATATAAGAATAGGCTGTTTGTTTTACTATTGTCTCCGCTACTGAACATTTTCCAATTGGGTTGTTCACCCAAACAGGTTGGTTTTCTGAAAATTCTTTCTGTTCTGGTTTTCTTGTGATAATTTTTTGCTTTTGTTGTTCAAGATATAAATCCTTGAAAATGTCAGTTTTTAATTGGTCAAAAATCGTCTTTACCAGATGTTGATGCAATGATTTCGCGTTAACTTTTTTGTGGGTCATATTGGATCCTGTATAATAGAGGCATGCATTTTGCGTTCTATATATCGTTGAAGGATAGAAGCGCATCGCGTACCTCCCCAGGAATACCTAGCAAAAAGGTAGAATAGTACCGACAGTACCATCGATACGATAGATTGGTTTTGCCATTTACCGATTAATCGTGTGTTTAAGCCTTCAAGGGGCGCCCCAAAGTTACAAGACCACAGAAGCCAAATTAGTTGAACGACAAACAACCTTTTTGCATGACTTCACTTTTATTTCTAATTTTTTCGTGTAATAAGGACGCAATATTCGCTATACAGGTCGATTTTCTTTGCCCAGGTTGATAACTGATATCATAGTCGTAGCTTCCCAGAATTATAGTCCATCTTAAAAGTCGATTTCTAGCAACTTTTGCTGTATCACGTTCTTTACTAAAGACTTTTTCCATCTGTCATCAGTGAAATGTCGACCATAGAGATAGAAATGAAAGCTGTCACTGCAAATACTAAGCCAAGTGGTTCTTTATCTATAGCTTTATTGTGTCGTTGATACAAAAGCCACTGGTTTTAAGCTTCCATTTGGAAATTTGTGAAAAAGAATTGCTCCTAAACCTCTTGAACTGACATCGCTGGTTACAATTAAGGGTAATTTTGGGTCGTAATGTACCAAAGTGTCAGAGAACGTGAAAATAAATTAAAGTTTTTGAAACAAGTGTTCATCTTCTTTTCTCCAATTGCCTTTTTTGAGCTTGTTATAGAGTGGTATATGCAGATAACAGGAAGTTTGTTGATAAATCTACTGTACTAATTAATTGAACTTAAGAAAGATCGAAGTTCTGTTATGTTACTTGGTTTTGGCATGTTTTGAATTGCTTTTATTTGTTGGATGTAAACCTTCAGCATTGATAGTATGTCCTAAAAAAACTTATAGTTTTCTGCAACCAGATACATTATGATACTTGTGTCTTTGAGCCAGCATTACACAAGCGTTCTAGAACCTGCTCCAAATGTTTTGAGTGAAGGACTTGATACTAAATTATCATCAAGATATCATAGAGTTCTATTGATGCCTGACAAGAGCTGATCCATTGTTCTTTGGAAAATTGACGGAGCATAATTTACGTCAAATGGTAAACGTTTTTGTCTATAATAGCCCTACCGCGTGGCTATGACTAGTATTTTCTAGAGTCTGGATGCATTTTCAATTGAAGGTTAGCGTTCTAATCAAGTTTAGAAAAATACTCGCCACCGTTCAATTCAGATAGAATATCCTCCAGTCTAGGTATTGACAATTCCATAGGATCGGTTGATATGTTGACCGGTTCAAGTATCTACAACAAGGCGATCAATTTCAGCTTTGACATTATCTTGTAAAGCAATAGAAATACAGGGAAAGTTGAAGCAATAAGTGACAAAATGGCAATTACAAAAATTCTCATGACTTTACCAGAGAATTTAAAGTATCTCATTTCGGCTTGGGTTTCGGCACCTGAAGATAAACAAACGTTGGCGGAGCTTTATGTCCAGACTTTTAGTAGAGGAAGAAAGAAAATTAAGGAGTAGCATTGGCTATTAGAAGAAAGAAAACACTAAGCTACTCATCGGGGGATCGAGTGAAGGAAGTAAAATGTTTTCAATGCAACAAAATGGAACATTGGAAGAAGGACTGTCCACTTAAAGAAAAAAAAGTTTGTCATTGTTGTAAAAAGGAAGGTCACTTAGTAAAAGATTGCGGGTTTGACAAAAATGGTTGAAAATATTGAGACAGAGACATAGGCGCCGGAACCATGGGGGCAATGGGAGCTTGAGCCCCCAAAGTGAATTTTCTATGGGGGCGAAGCCCTCATAGTAATTTAGGTATTATGTCTATGTAGTGGGTAGGTAGTTGAGTTCCTAACTATTTACTTTTATATCATATAAATGTGTTTTATGTTTTAGTTTGTTTTTGCTATACCTACCTACATTAACAAACAGTTTGAAAATTTTCTTGTGTAGGTAGTATTTAAACCTGTATTTTCAATATGTCGTTGAATGATTATTTCCTTTCCGTTTGTTTTCATGATAGGTATGTTTAAATCACATGAATATATCACGATGTACCAATACACTGGCTTTTTTTAACAAGTTTATCATGGAAAAAATTTCAAGAATTCGTTGAGGGCGAGCCGATGGTCCTATCGAGCTCGTAAGCCTGGAAAAAAATTAAAAAGATTTTGATCCTGGAAAATTTTGGAGAGCCGACAGGGCGCCACTTTTCCGCTTATAACTTTAGTAATTTCGAACAGATTGTCTCGAATTGAAATTTTTCTGATAATATATTGAAAATTTTGAAGTAGATTTTCTCAAAAACGGTACCTCGTGGAGGGATAACTCTGATAAGCTTTTTTGTAGTTCTCAATGAGTATTTAGGGCTTTTCCCCCAGGCTCTTCGTTTTCCAGCTAGGATGGAAATGGCCGCATCCCCGCTTGCCCCCACCATTAGAAGTCCCAAAAATACCGTAAAAAGACCCAAAATTTCTCCTCAAGACAAAATCTTGGCTACTCCAATGGTGCTGCCGAAGCTGCCGAAGATGCACGAATTTTAATATTATGAAGGAACCTGCAGGGACGATCAATGGTCCACCGTGGCGTTCCTGCAGTGAAATAACTATCTGTCAACTGGTTCCATTTAAGTCTTTGTATCTAGTAGTCTAGTCCTGTCTGTATAAATAATTCTACTTCTGGTAATTTTTGGAGCCCGAGCTCCCATAGTAATTTTGAAATTCCGGCGCCTATGGACAAAGACAAATATAGAAGAAACGAAAAACAGGATAATCAAGGAAGGGATAGAAGAAACCCAGAAGCCCATTCAACACAGGCATTGGTGGGAAGGTCTAGTTTGTTAAATTACATCAATATTTTTAAAAAAAACTGGAAGGAATGATGATTGGTGGCTACACAGCGGTGCAACAGAACATACGTGTTATAGCAAAGAAAACTATGTAGAAATCTGAAAATGACTTGAAGTTTTGCTGGTACCTGAATAAGATGTTAACCTGTTTTCATTGAGTACTGTTCTCGATAGAGATTTATGGTAATGCATTCAGAGAAAAATCCATGTGAATAATTGTTGGATGAAAATGGGGAAATGGAAAATGGATGTAGACCTTCAGCTTCCCAAAAAATTTATAGTTTGCTATGCATCCAGATACATTTTGATACTTGTGTCTGCGTGCTAGAACATGTTCCAAATGTTTTAAGTGAAGTTTCTTAGAAGGACTTGATACTTAAATATCATCAAGGTAGCATACAGTTCAATCGATGTTCGTTGGAAAAGCGATGGAGCAAAATTCACGCCAAATGGTAAAAGTTTGTTATATCCTGTTGCTTACAGAATCCTGGCGATTGTTCCAAGGCACAGTTAATTGATGAAGAGAAAGTTAAGGAAAATTGAAGGATTAAAAATTTTGGTCCTGGGCGGGATTCGAACCCCCATCCTCAGCATTGCCGGTGCTACGCTCTAACCAACTAAGTCACCATGATCTTTTTGATTTTTGTTTGATGTTGTAAGAGGAAGTTGCGTGGTTCTCGGCTCAAACTTCTCAGTCCTCCAATTACCGCACACATTTATGGCATCGGTCCTAACTCGAATAAGGAATAAGCTCCTTATTACTATGTAGGTATCGTCTAACAACACCAAACAAAAATCAAAAAGATCTGTAGGGTCATGGTGACTTAATTGGTTAGAGCGTAGCACCGGCAATGCTAAGGACGCGGGTTCGAATCTCGCTCAGAACCAAAATTTCTAATCCTCTAATTTTCCTTAACTTTCTCTTCATTTTCAATTTCCACGCTTTTCGGGTGTTGTAACCGACAAAACTTCATTGCCTTTCAATTTTTATAAGAACATGTTCACACACACAATACACTCTTTCACCTCACATAAAACATAATACGTTATATAATTTTAACAACACAGTTCCAGAAACTGAAGATGTGAGTAAGACATCTTGAATGTCGTTTGTGGACATCTTAGGGGCGCCTTTAAGATGCCTTTGTAGGTACTGTCTGGGCAGGAGATGAGTGGATAGAGAAGGGTTCAATATCAGTCCCAATAAATAATAATGAAACACCATCCAGTTGAAGACCTGTGCAACTTTTTACAGGGCACCAAAATAATAGAGTGGTTGGAAAAAATCAAACATGCTAAGTACAATAAACTTTCTCAGACATGGTACCTACATGAAGTATTCCGAATCCTAAGCTCAAAACACACCTCGGCGTTTATTAGCCAATCAAAAATTGACGAAGAGGCGTACAAAATCCTCGAGATTACATAAATCCGGGACATGCCTGGCGGCCTTTTTTTAACTAGAAGTTAAGTACTTAATGCCGCGAGTTATGTACGATAAATCGTGCCTTAATTAACATGTGCGCATTTTGACTTTTTGTGTCACGCACTCGCGCCGAGAGGTTTATGGGAAAATAAAAATTTTCTCACGATTGGAAAAGGAAAAACTTGTTGTCGACTGCGTACCCATATCTATACTTTTATTGCTCTCGAAAATCTTCGCATAATTTATAAATGATAATTGGTACCGCACGATTTTTTCGGTGTTGTATAAATTAGTCGGTACCCGTGTAGAGACAATTAAAAAAAAAACTTAACAAGTCCGTGTGTGTGTTGTGACTTTCACGTCAAATATGGGCGAACGTATTCATTTATATATTTTGTGTCTTACGTAAATAATGTGCAAATATACAAGGGATTTTTTCATTTGCAAATAAAATTCATGACCACCTATAAATAAGGGTAGAAGAGTTTCTTGATAGTAAAGGGATCAGGAAAACTTTCTGCTGAAGGTTGAACATCAAAATCGTGTACGCAAATTCCAAGTTTGGAGATCAGAAAAATCATATCTCCAACTATTGATCTGAAATTTTCTTATATTGAATATTATGTAATTACAGATGCTTGAAATGCAATTTTTATTGCACTACAACCTACAAATTACTTGGTAGAAAGTACCTTGCCATTATCCATCGATAAAATCTTCAAAATTGTCCATAAAAAGACACCAAACAATGTGCAGATACACAATATGTCATAATTTACGTAAAAACGCACTATTAGAAATCAATAGAAAGCGTTTTATTATCTTGCCCGGTAATAAATCTGTCTCGTTAATTAAATTTCAATTTTTCAGGGATATTCGTGTGCTGATCTTTATACGGCCGCAATGAGGAACTCCGGGGTGTACTACTTGCAAATTCGCGGTACCACTTTTTGGTTTTTAAAGGTGTTTTGCGAACAGGAGATCGCTGACGGAGGATGGACGGTAAGGAAAAACATTAATTACAAAACAACCGTTACAAATTTGTAAAGAAATGCCGTGAATAATTGAAACATTTTCACGCATTACTATTTAAAGAGATTTGCGATGGGTGTGTGAAGATTTATCTACCTAAGACTTAAATCCAAGAAATAATTAAATGCGGCAAATTTCTCGTATATCAAACTATTTATTTCCCCTATATAAGCCGATTTAAAAGTCGGTCCAAATTACAAAACCCGCTCCGAAAAGTATAACACAACATAAATTTACTATACTATAAAACTAGTTTTCGCCATATATAAGCGGTACTACTTTATGGTTGGACTTCTGGTTTTGGAAAATTGCTAAAGCTCATATATTTTATTGTGTAATTTAATCTAAGAAAAAATTAATATAAATCTTAGGTTATCCAACGTAGAAACGACTTTGGGATCCCCAGGGAAAACTTCAACCGAGACTGGAACGACTACAAAAACGGTTTCGGAGATCCTGCCAAGGAATTTTGGCTGGGAAACGAAAATATTTACATGTTGACCAACAATGAAGAGTATTCGTTAAGAGTCGAGCTGGAAGATTTTGAGGGCAATAAGAGGTAATTAATATCATCCTAAAAAGTACAATTCAGTTGGTCGACCCCATAACCCAGCGTTCAAGGCAAACCGCTCATCTTCAATAGAACACTCGGTACTTTCCCAATAAATACGAACGCAATTGCGAATTTTCTGTCAAATCTTCTTGCGATTATTTGCTAATAGCCTATTTGGGTTGAATTAATTAGAATTGTGATAGGAAAAATCTCAATTTCAAAAGAGCCTTCCGGCGACATCTGGTATATTAGACTGAGTAAAATTGCCACTCAGTTTTAAATGTCATGTATATGCACGTAGGTAAAAGCTTTGATCTAGTTTTAGTACGTTAGAGGCATAAAAGTAAATTTGAATTCCTGTCTTTGATTTTAGAATATATGAAGTTGGAAAAAACCTCATAATTTTAATTCTGAGCTTCAGATTAACTTCAAATTTGCCTTGTTTGATGAAAACATCATAGTTTATAAATTATGAAAGTTTGAAATCGATCTGATACTCCAAAGCATTTTTCAGGATTTTTCAAAGGTGATTTAACATGATTTTTTCAACTTTTTTTGGTATGAAGTTGGAAAAAATCTCATAATTTTAATTCTGAGCTTCAGATTGACTTCAAATTTGCCTTGTTTAGTGAAAACATACTGATTAATAAATCCTGGAAGTTTGAAATCGATCTGATACTCCAAAGTATTTTTCAAGATTTTTCAAAGGTGATTTAACGTGAATTTTCCAACTTTTTCTGGTATGAAGTTGGAAAAAACCTCATAGTTTTAATTCTGAGCTTCAGATGAACTTCAAATTTGCTTTATCTGTTTAAAACATACTGGCTAATGAATCCTAGAAGTTTGAAATCGATCTGTTACTCCAAAGTATTTTTCAGGATTTTTCAAAAGTTATTTAACGTGAATTTTTCAACTTTTTCTGGTATTGAGTTGGAAAAAACCTCATAATTTTAATTCTGAGCTTCAGATTGACTTCAAATTTGCCTCGTTTGCTGAAAACATACTAGTTAATGAATCCTGGAAGCTTGAAATCAATCTGATACTCCAATGTTTTTTTCAAAATTTTTTAAAGGTGATTTAACGTGAATTTTTTAACTTTTTCTGGTATTAAGTTGGGAAAAACTTCATAATTTTAATTCTGAGCTTCAGATTCACTTCAAATTTGCCTTGTTCAGTGAAAACATATTGATTAATAAATCCTGAAAGTTTAAAATTGATCTGATACCCCGAAGTATTTTTCAGGATTTTTCAAAGGTGATTTAACGTGAATTTTCCAACTTTTTCTGCCATTAAGTTGGAAAAAACCTTATAATTTTAATACTGAGCTTCAGATTGACTTCAAATTTGCCTTGTTTGATGAAAACATCTTGGTTAATAAATTCTGAAAATTTGAAATCGATCTGATACTCTGAAGTATTTTTCAGGATTTTTCAAAGGCTATTTAACGTGAATTTTCCAACTTTTTCTGGTATAAAGTTGGGAAAACCCTCATCATTTTAATTCTGAGCTTCAGATTAACTTCAAATTTGCCTTATCTGTTGAAAACATACTGGTTAATGAATCCTGGAATTTTTTAAATCGATCTGATACTCCAAAGTATTTTTCAGGATTTTACAAAGGTGATTTAACGTGAATTTTCCAACTGTTTCTAGTATTAAGTTGGAAAAAACCTCATAATTTTAATTCTGAGCTTCAGATTCAGTTCAAATTTGCCTTGTTCAGTGAAAACATATTGTGAAAACAAATCGTGAAAGTTTAAAATTGATCTGATTTTCCGAAGTATTTTTCAGGATTTTTCAAAGGTGATTTAACGTGAATTTTACCAACTTTTTCTGGCATTAAGTTGGAAAAAACCTCATAATTTTTATTCTGAGCTTCAGATTGACTTCAAATTTGCCTTGTTTGATGAAAACATACAGGTTAATAAGTCCTGAAATTTTAAAATTGATCTGATACCCCGAAGTATTTTTCAAGATTTTTCAAAGGCTATTTAACGTGAATTTTCCAACTTTTTCTGGTATAAAGTTGGGAAAACCCTCATCATTTTAATTATGAGCTTCAGATTAACTTCAAATTTGCCTTATCTGTTGAAAACATACTGGTTAATGAATCCTGGAAGTTTGAAATCGATCTGATACTCCAAAGTATTTTTCAGGATTTTACAAAGGTGATTTAACGTGAATTTTCCAACTGTTTCTGGTATTAAGTTGGAAAAAACCTCATAATTTTAATTCTGAGCTTCAGATTCACTTCAAATTTGCCTTGTTCAGTGAAAACATATTGATTAATAAATCGTGAAAGTTTAAAATTGATCTGATTTTCCGAAGTATTTTTCAGGATTTTTCAAAGGTGATTTAACGTGAATTTTCCAACTGTTTCTGGTATTAAGTTGGAAAAAACCTCATAATTTTAATTCTGAGCTTCAGATTCACTTCAAATTTGCCTTGTTCAGTGAAAACATATTGATTAATAAATCCTGAAAGTTTAAAATTGATCTGATACCCCGAAGTATTTTTCAGGATTTTTCAAAGGTGATTTAACGTGAATTTTCCAACTTTTTCAGGTATTAAGTTGGAAAAAACCTTATAATTTTAATACTGAGCTTCAGATTGACTTCAAATTTGCCTTGTTTGATGAAAACATCCTGGTTAATAAATTCTGAAAATTTGAAATCGATCTGATACTCTGAAGTATTTTTCAGGATTTTTCAAAGGCTATTTAACGTGAATTTTTCAACTTTTTCTGGTATTGAGTTGGAAAAAAACCTCATAATTTTAATTCTGAGCTTCAGATTGACTTCAGATTTGCCTTGTTTAATGAAAACACTCCAGTATTTGAATAGTGAAAATTTGAAATCGATCTGATTCTCCAAAGTATTTTTCAGGATTTTTCAAAGGTGATTTAACGTGAATTTTCCAACTTTTTCTGGTATAAAGTTGGGAAAACCCTCATCATTTTAATTCTGAGCTTCAGATTAACTTCAAATTTGCCTTATCTGTTGAAAACATACTGGTTAATGAATCCTGGAAGTTTGAAGTCGATCTGATACTCCAAAGTATTTTTCAGGATCTTTCAAAGGTGATTTTACGTGAATCTTCCAACATTTTCTGGTATTAAGTTGGAAAAAACCTTATAATTTTAATACTGAGCTTCAGATTGACTTCAAATTTGCCTTGTTTGATGAAAACATCCTGGTTAATAAATTCTGAAAATTTGAAATCGATCTGAAACTCTGAAGTATTTTTCAGGATTTTTCAAAGGCTATATAACGTGAATTTTCCAACTTTTTCTGGTATGAAGTTGGAAAAAACCTCATCATTTTAATTCTGAGCTCCAGATTAACTTCAAATTTGCCTTATCTGTTGAAAACATACTGGTTAATGAATCCTGGAAGTTTGAAATCGATCTGATACTCCAAAGTATTTTTCAGGATTTTACAAAGGTGATTTAACGTGAATTTTCCAACTGTTTTTAGTATTAAGTTGGAAAAAACCTCATAATTTTAATTCTGAGCTTCAGATTCAGTTCAAATTTGCCTTGTTCAGTGAAAACATATTGTGAAAACAAATCGTGAAAGTTTAAAATTGATCTGATTTTCCGAAGTATTTTTCAGGATTTTTCAAAGGTGATTTAACGTGATTTTCCCAACTTTTTCTGGCATTAAGTTGGAAAAAACCTCATAATTTTTATTCTGAGCTTCAGATTGACTTCAAATTTGCCTTGTATAATGAAAACATCCCGGTTAATGAAGACTGAAAATTTAAAATCGATCCGATGCTCCAAAGTATTTTTCAAGATTTTTCAAAGGTTATTTAACGTGAATTTTTCAACTTTTTCTGGTATTGAGTTGGAAAAAAACCTCATAATTTTAATTCTGAGCTTCAGATTGACTTCAAATTTGCCTTGTTTGATGAAAACATACTGGGTAATAAATCCTGAAAGTTTAAAATTGATCTGATACTTACCCCGAAGTATTTTTCAGGATTTTTCAAAGGTTTCTTAAGGTGAAGTCTTCAACTTTTTCTGGCATTGAGTTGGAAAAAAACCTCATAATTTTATTTCTGAGCTTCAGATTGACTTCAAATTTGTCTTGTTTGATGAAAACATACAGGTTAATAAGTCCTGAAAATTTAAAATTGATCTGATACCCCGAAGTATTTTTCAGGATTTTTCAAAGGTGATTTAACGTGAATTTTCCAACTTTTTCTGGTATGAAGTTGGAAAAAACCTCATAATTTTTATTCTGACCTTCTGAGAAGTATTTTTCAGGATTTTTCAAAGGTGATTTGACGTGAATTTTCTTACTTTTTCTGGTATTAAATTGTCGTTTCAGTGAAAAATTCAAAAATTTCCAGCTTGCTTTTCAGGTCCTCTCTTGCTGGAGCTGTCTACAACCTAACTCCTTTTTTCCCAATTTGTTTGGTTGTTTTTATTTGTCAATTTTCCAGGTTATTATACTTACCTTATTATTACCTTTTTTCCACTAGTACAATCCACTGTATCAGGCTTCAGTACAAATATTTCACCATGGTGATAATATGGCCCACATGTAGCTAAAACTGTCCTATCAATCATGGGTAAATAATTCTTACTATTTTCGCTAAATTTATAAAATTTAGAAAAATTTTCACAATGTGACAACATTGTACAAATATTTATTCTCCGGGTCGGGCGTCGCCTGAAATTTCGAATTTCTGAGTTCATTACTGTGTAAAGTTCCTGATTTTTCTATGAGAAGACCCTAAAATTTCCAGATCCTTTCAGAAGTCTGGAAAATTCTTGATAGTTCTTTGAAAAAACTCCATGAACTTTAAATCCTGAACTCTGAGCCAGTGCAATTGCAATTTCCTTGAATCTTTTCTAAAAAGACTCTACAAATTCCACATGTCTGGATTCATTATTTTGCAAAGTTCTTGGTTTGTCTATGAGAAGACCCCTAAAGCATTCAGATTTTCACAACTTTTAGATCCTGCATTCTACGAAACTTGAAAATTTGTTGACGATTCTATGAAAAGACTCCCTAAACTTTAGATCTTAAACTCTGAGCCATTGCAATTGCAATTTTCCTAAATCTTCTCTAAAATGACTCTCCAGATTCCGAATCTTTGAGTCATTACTTTGCAAAATTTCTGGTTTTTCTATGAGAAGACCCTTTAGAATTATCAGATGTTGTCAGATTCTCAGAACTTTTAAATCCTGAATCCTATACAAAACTGGATGATTTCGTAAAAAAAAGTCCCTAATATTTAGACCCTGAACACTTGACGTTTCTTTTCTCAGATACGCTCAATATTCCCATTTCAAAATATACTCAGAAGCCGAATACTACAAACTGGAAATCGACGGTTACGAAGGCAACGCAGGCGATTCCTTAAACGATCCTTGGTATGGTAGCAACAACAGTCCTTTTTCCACATACAACAGGTAAAATACTTTATTCAATAATCATATGTAATTAACAAATTAATCAATTGCAGAGACAATGACCGATCGAGTCTGAATTGTGCCTCGATGCTAAAAGGTGGCTGGTGGTGGAAATCTTGCGGTAGAGGCCTAAATGGGCTCTATTTGAACGATCCACAAGATTTAACGGCCAGACAAGGTAAATGTTTACGTAACAAAGTGAAAACCTTCCATCATTACATGTCGGACAATATACCATCATAATTAACATTTTAATATTTTTTCCTTGTGATAACTTATTGAATAAATATTGTCACTACTTTCTATTGTCTCAATTATACATTGCGTAATAATGTATTTTCACAGGTATCGTTTGGTTCCGCTGGAGAGGCTGGGATTACACGCTAAAAAAATCCGTCATGATGATAAAGCCCAAAAACTACCTGAACGGTACCTAATAAGAACCTTTGAGGTTTCAAGTTAATAATAATTATATTCTGATGTACAAATTGTATATTTGTTTTGTTGCGTATGTGTATGCCAATTTATAATCACAGGCTAAATATTTATATAGATACTATATTAAAAATTTAAAGGGTTCACAACCGTCATATAAGACTTTAAAATAATTGCGGTTACATAAGCCTTGTGTGCTCATTATAAAAAGCATCGAAACTCGTACAGTGGGTTCATTTACATAGCGACCCAGTTTACTTTTTACCGATTTTCTTATGATCGTTTCATTAACTTTTCGCTCTCATTTTTACTTTCAATTTCATATTGTTTTTCCTGGTTCATCATTCATAATAAATTTCATCTCACAATCAAAGCAGTATTAATTATTTATCCCCCATATATTTTTATATTAGAATAATGTTAGATTTTTAGGTAATTCAAGCTTAAGATTTTTGCATAAAATATCACAAAAAAGCCATAATTAATTGAGGGCAACATTAGTTTTAATATTGTATGTTAAGTTATCTTAATTAAAAAATCCTGTGATTATAAATTGACCCCTGAAAGAGTATACGAACTTTTAAAAAAAAATTAATTAAGAAGGAAAAAAACCTAAAGACTGTGAGACACTGAGAGCTGGTTTCTCAATAGCAAGTCACCCCTCTGGGTTAAGCATATTACAACTGAATACGTTTACCCTGGAGTTATGTTTAACCCAGGGGTGACTTGCTATTGAGAAACCGACCCTTAAATTAAAATAAATTCGTTACCACTTAATTTAAGTTTAAGGAAGCTAAATATTAATTTTAGGTATGTTGTCTATTCTTCGTTTGAATCGCCCCTCTGTAATGCGCTTCTATTTAGGATTTGAACAGTATATCGGTGTTATTTGTAAATAATATTTTATTATTATAAATAAATAAATAAAGACACTTATTTCTATTTATGATAATTTTGTTGAATTATTTATAGTTGCCCTTTGCGCTTTATATACAAAAACATTTAATCGTGAAATCTTCTAGAATTAATCAAATCTCTAGATTTTATCTGTGTGTTACGGACAATGACTTAATAAATCTAAAAGATTTTATTTTAGAAACAATAAAAAGCCCAAATAATAATACATAAGAAAAAGGTGTAATAAATAGAAGAAAATCCTATTTTAAACTTTATAGTGTCAGCCTACTAGTGACGTCACTCAATAATCGTTTGCTCTTAAATGTCGTTTGATTATCCTTGAAAGACGATGCCTTGTCAACCTAACCTCATTTTTTGAGGTGTCCTGTAAAATCCAAACAAATCCTGTTTTGTATTTATTTACATGTTTTAAAAGCCAAATAATGTCGGACAACGTCCTGGAAGAACTTTTATTCTTCGACACATTCGCCCACGATAATACCGAGGTAAGTTTACCCACTTTTACAAAATCCCTGAAAGCAATTTCCCAATTTACAGGAATTAAACTTAGACTTGGTCCAATTCCCCAAGCCTGTCTATGTAACAGAAGTCCGTATAATTCCTTTAGGAGCCCGAATACAGGCAGATATTCCAGGGGGAGTCCGTTTAGGTGCAACCAACCCCAGCCAATTTCACATAGAACTTTTTGTCAATGACCTCGGCAAACCGGGTGCGAGCACTTTTGAAACTTTAGGCTCCTTCGAATACGACCAAAACGGTAAAATCAATCTACAATGGGCCACCGACGATTCAATCCGAAAAATACCCACAGACGGTTTAGTTTTAAAAGGCCTTTACACTACTATAACCTTAGCAGTTTATGGAATCCTAACTAACAATTTAGCTGAGCAACTCGTACAGCCTATTGTGAATCCTGCTTTGCCTATTACTCAAGCCAATACAATTGCTGATGCTCAGCAAATAATTGCTGTAAGCACAGTGGATCCTGAATGGTCTCAGGATAATGGCAGTCAGCAGCCAATCGAATATCCAGCTCCCAGTATTAATTTTCAATCGTATGGGCCTGAGGCATTTCAGCAAGAGTTTCCTGAATATTTCAGCGAGCCTCCTAAGGATCCTAGAAGCTATCATCACACGCCTGAACATGATTGGGATAAGAATAATAGTAGGAGTGAGAGGGAGAAGAGTAGCAGAGAGGTTTTTACGGTAAGTTATTATTACATGAGTAATAAGCAATTTTACTGTAGGTTTGACAACAATTATTATTATTATTATTGATAGATTCCCCAGAAAATAATTAATTTGGTACTTAATTCTTTGATTATTATTAAAGGTGTTGGGTTGTATTTTTCTTTCAGCGGACAAGGAGATACTTTAAATATCCAATGTTTAGAAGGTCTAGGATTGTAAGTATTCAATTATCATAGGAGATTTTTGTCATTTATTCCTAGAATTTGAAGATTTCTACCAGAGGTTATATGAAGAGGAAATCATCCTTCCATTCAATGTATTTGTAATTAAGTATTTGAAAGTTTTCTATTGGGCTATTTGGAAGCCAAAATGATAAATAATAAAGTGTTGTTATTTGAAGATTTCTACTCAGGGCTTAGGAAAAGGAATTTTTCCTTTTATTTAATGTATATTATTCTCTTTGAAAATTTTCTATTAGGCATTTTGAAAATCAAATTTTTCTAGGTGGAATAATGTAATACAATAATGCTGTCCAATTGAAAAAAGGTTATACAGTGTGTATCCCATCTTTATCTTGGACACAATGTACATAATAATGTTTTTGTTTTATTGTAAGTTTTAGACAAAAAGTATATATTTGATAAAATATTACATATATACAGGGTGTCCCACGGTGGATGGCGTATTAGACGATTATGGAGAACTAAAAAGCGGATCATTTTGAAAATTTGGCAACCGGGATAAACGACCATGATCTACACTTTAAAAATATTTTTGACCATGCTGTGTTGCCACTTCTACTCTAAACTAGTGGCAACATCACTTCACTACGTAAAATTCTAAGCAGATTTCATGTGATATACCCTATACCTAAGTTCAACTGTTTTGGAAATATTGACAGTTAAAAATTGACTTTTTGCAACTTTGACAGGCTGTAGAACCTGAATGGTTAATTTTAGAGGAAAACCGATTTTACATTCCTATCTTAGATTTTTATAAACAATCATTTGACACCAACTTAGAATTAAATCCATGATTAAAAATTTCAGTTAAATTTAATCTCCGGTTAAGTTCAAAGTTGGTGTCAAATGATAGTTTATCAAAATCTAAGATAGGAATGTCAAATCGGTTTTCCTCTAAAATTAACCAATTAGGTTTTACAGCCTGTCAAAGTTGCAAAAAGTCAATTTTCAACTGTCAATATTTCCAAAACAGTTGAACTTAGGTATAGGGTATATCACATGAAATCTGCTCAGAATTTTACGTAGAATCCAAATATGCAATTTAATACGGGGTGTTCCATTTAAAATAGTGATGTTGCCACTAGTTTGGAGTAGAAGCGGCAACACCGCATGGTGAAAAATATTTTTAAAGTGTAGATCATGGTCGTTTATCCCGGTTGCCAAATTTTCAAGATGATTCGCTATTTAGTTCTCCATAAACGTCTAATACGCCATCCACCGTGGGACACCCTGTATATATATATTTATTTATTAATTGTGTGAATTCTTCTGCTTAAAACATAACACAGAACCTAAAATTATAAATAAATGTTTGATTAGAAAATCAATTACATATTTGAATTTTGTGCAAGTAAAAACATTTTAATATAAAGTCATAGTACTGCTTGGTACGGCCCTGATCACCCAGACTTCTTGGGGAATATTGGAATATTGAAAACACACAAGTTATATCTTTTAAGATTTTTTTGGTCCCAACTTGCAAATTCGAGTTTTTTTTACTTCAACTTAGCCTTCTATTTTGGAGGTTTGCCCCTCTAATGATTTTTCTAAAATGAAAAACTATACCCCATGTGATACCCATGATACCGCCTTTGAAAGGTTTTTTTTATTTTAGAGGCGTGACCATTTTATTTCAGCTACAATATAGAACATGATCACTTGACTCTTCAGAACAATTTTGTCTGGCAAAGTTGAAAAGCATTCAGCTATTCTATTAAAGCCCCATTAGGCTGAATTCACTTGAAACCGCGTTATGCAGCTGACACCCAAAAGCAAATCATAATTCAACCATTTCTCACCGGTATTCGGTAGTGCTCCACTGCTACACTTACCGTGTATAGTATAATCGTGCAACAAATGGGATCCTAACCTATTATGGTGGACGGCTTCCCCAGGGGACACCAATTACCAAAAAGAAATAATCAAACCATAATTTGTTGCCTTGGATATCAGTGAAACGCAACTTCAATTGTTAATAGGAAGTTATTGAAAACATCTACAGTCAAATGTTTAAAGTATAATACCAAAAATGCTCAACTAAGTAGAAGTAGCTAGTACCAAAATTCTGATTTGAAGGGCAGTTAGGATCATAAGTTTAGGTATTTATTATTTTTTTAATAGCTTATTTCTTTACAATAGTCTACTGCCAAATGACAAATATAAAAATATATAAGAGAAGAGCTTGTTTACCTTGACCCTTTTTTCCTTACTTCAGTCACCTTCAGTGATGATTCATCAATTAGGTCTAATAATATTGAGATAAACAAATCCTTTATCTTTACTCGCTGAAATGCATAAAACACCAATTTCAGATTGTTTCGAAAATGTCATCAACAATAATTATCATTTTTTTTATGTAATTACCCACTGTATACTTATTATGCATCAGATAATATGTACTGGTATTACCATGTAGATCCACACTGACCTAGCATTATAGATGTCTCAATACAACGTATTTTTTCTGAATGGGTCATATTGAACATTTGAACCTGTTGGTTCATGTCATGGTCAAATAAACGTCCACTACCTGACGTCCCAAACAAGTTAATCGACGTAAATCTATTTAAAATGGACGTCATAACGCCTAACCTTTGCTGCTGTTTGTTGGAATAGGAAAAAAGACCTGCCTGGAAAATATCCTCCAGCATTTTAAATGTTTGAATGGATTTGGATCAAACGACTTTTTTGCAGATCTGTTTTTGTATCAAAATTGTATTCGCTAACATCCAAATGTTCTCTATCTTAAACCCGGTTTAATCATCTTGAGGTAACTATCTGCAAGATAATTTTACATATCTATAATCCTGTCGGTCACCGGATAATTGGTCGACCAATTGGATTACATATTGCGTTTTTATCCGTCAGATTGCATTACCTGACAGTTTATTAGAAAGTGAATAAACCGACTCTTATATGTGTTAAGAGGTTCTTAGAGAGCCGGGAATATACAAAAATTTGAGAATTAAGGGAAAATAGAGCAGATATGTAGACTTAGGTACCCATATTATGATGTTTTTATTCCCGGTTCTTGAATTTTCTTTATGTAGAAATATTTAATAGGAACCATTCAAGATCTGAGAATAGACAAAAATTGAGACGGAAAATTCAAAAATTTAGAGAAGAAAATTAAGGAAAATTTCTAACAAGCAAAAGTATCTGTGAGAAGAAAACCATCTTTCAACTCGTTTATCTATCTGCTTTTAATTCATATGACATTCATTGACTTACCACTTGTAGCTTGAACATATAATTATGTTCCTAGTGATAAAGGAATCAATGGTGTGGAAAATATTTAAGTAAAATTGGACATAAAACTTTGTACTCAACACTGGTGGAAAGAGAATTTTCTATCCTTGAGCTGTCACCTTGTCAAGAAAAAGTATCACTTCTACTTTCAAAACTAAAAATGTATTTGTAGTGAAGGATTACAAATTTTAACTCATTTGGACTAGTAATTCTAGATATATAAATTCATTAAGATCGAGAAGACAAGATTTTAACATTTCTGCAACAAAATTGACTTGCAGTTGGTTAACAGTATTGTGTTTGAATATTCCAAATAATATAGTTGTAATGTAAAGTCCACTTTTTACTTGAAAATTTTCACATTAAACATTTTTCAATGCACTCGTCAGGAAAGAGACCATTCGGAAAGACGCGACAGACGATATTCTCGATCAGAAAGCACAGACAGAGACAGACAGGTTAAAGACTATCACGACTCTAGCAGAGATAGAGACCACGAACGTGAAAACTACAGGTAAGTCAAAAAAACCCAAAAACAACCCACAAATACATTAATCCAATTCAAGAGCTGATTGGTCCGAATCTGACAGACCACACGACAGAGAACGTGGTAGAGAAAGGCGACACGATGACAACTATAGAAGATCGGACCGATTTCGAGAAGACCGTGAGGACAGGAAACGTCCCAGGACGCCTCAAAGTCCTAAAAGGCCTCATTCACCTGAACAAATTAAAGAAAGAAATGCTTCCCCTACACTTCCAGCTGCTGCCAGTCCAGAATTGGCGCCTAAAGACGAAAAAACTGAAGAAGATGTGCCTAAAACTGAAAGTCCAGTGGCTGTAGACGAAAGTACAACACCGCAAATGGATGTTGAAGAATTTGAGCCGATTTTGAGTGACGAGGATATTTTGGATGACAATGAACACTATCAGGAAGAATATGATTATACAGCTTATACGAATAATGATGATATTATAAGGCAATTTATTCCTGGAGTGACTGAGCTGCAGAAATACCCTTGCAATAAAAAATATTGCATTAAAGATAATACTATTGAAGTGGATGAAAGTTTGAAAACAATAATTGGCATTACAGATGATTATTTGAAATCTAGCATTACCAAATATGTGTTGGATGGTTTTAGCCAATTAAATACAGAGATTAAGGAGGAATTTGTGCATTTAGCTGAAAAGTTAATTGGAATTGTAAGTTGCTACAATAATTATTAATACTGTAATGTTATTTTTAATAAATATATTTTATTAGATTGGTGATTCGGATACATTCAAAGACATAAAGAATCTTCACAATGCCATGCGTTCACTAACCAGCTCTAAAATGACAACCGAAAATAAAGAGCTAGCCAATCAGATTGAATTTATTATTGAAACAATCACTGATTGGTTGAAAATCGCTTTGGATTATGACATGGCTAATTCACAAGATCAGCCTGCTTATAAAATAAGACATATTAAGTGTGGAGTAAGGTAAGTGAATTTTATAATCAGTGATGATTGTGTGACTACTGGTGTGAAGTAAGCAGCCAATGGGATTTTGCATAAAGGTGGGAAAAGGTGTTGAAATAGTGCCCTATCAATTTCATGGCTAGACTGAAAGTTCTAGTTGGGAAAAAAAATGAGAAAATCTCAATATTTAAGTATGCATTTTTAGGGGAAGTTTTCCATATTTTATTATTTTGACGGAGTTTGAGTCAATGGGATTTTGATTAGGGATTGTAAAATGTGTTGAAATAGTACCCTAATAATTTCATGACTAGACTCGAAGTCCAAGTTAGAAAAAAAATAGGAAAATCTCAATATTTATGTATTTTTATATAAGGGGTTGTTTTTCATATTTCCACGGGGTTTGAGTCAATGGGATTTTGCATAGGGATTGTAAATGGTGTTGAAATAGTACCGTAATAATTTCATGGCTAGAATCGAAGTCCAACTTGGAAAAAAAAATCTGAATATTATTGCAATTTTATTGGTTGAGGCCAGGGTAGTTTTCCATATTCCTACGGGGTTTGAGTCAATGGGATTTTGTATCTGGTTTGGAAATGGTGTTCAAATAGAACCCTATTTATTTCATAGCTAGACTCGAAGTTCAAGTATGAAAAAAATGCGAAAATCTTAAATACTAATACTTGCATTTTTATTTTCTAGTAGTTTTTCATATTTCTACAGGCTTTAAGTCAATGGGATTTTTCATGGGGGTTGAACATGGTGTTAAAATAGTACCCTATCAATTTAATGGCTAGACTCGAAGTCCAAGTACGAAAAAAAAAGAGATATTAAGCCTCAAAGTTGAAATTTAGTCTAGTCCAAAACTTCAAACTCGATTTTCTCAAAAACCGTAAATGCTAGGGATTTTGACTAAATAAGTTCTTGTAGCCCTTATCAAGAGTTACAATTTCTGTTCCAGAACCGCTTTTGGTTACTGACATATTATTTAAAATTCAAGATTTCCAAATAAAAATCCAAAGGGGGTAGGTTAGAAAAAAGTGCAAAAAATTGAAAATTTCTATTTTTAAATTTTTCTAAATTTTGACTTTAGAAATCGATAGAGCGAGTCCAAATTAGTCAGAAACAACTTTAACATGAATTACATTTGGAAATTTCAACAAGAAAAAAAATCCAAAAGGAAATATCATTTTTGACTCTGGACTTTTTTTGAAATCTTGACATGCTCATGAATAATTGCCTATATCTTCCATTATTCTCGAGCAAATTAATAATAACTATATATCATTGAAAAGAGCATTAAATTCTCTACAAAACTGTGCAAAATTGGTTCTTGTAAGTTGTGAAGTTTCCAAGATATTGAGCCTCAAAGTGGAAATTTAGTTAAAATTTTGTCCAAAATTTTAAATTCGATTTTCTCAAAAACTATAAATGCTAGCAATTTCAGCTAAATACCATCTGAAAGCCCTTTTCAAGAGCTACAATTCCTGGAATTTTTGTTTGAATACCGCTTTGGGTTGCCGAGATATTTGGGGTTGAAGATTTCCAATTAAAAATCCAAAGGGTAAACCTTAGAAAAAAGTGCAAAAAATTGAAAATTTCTATTTTTGAGTTTTTCTAAATTTTGACTTTAGAAATCGATAGAGCGAGTCCAAATTAGTCAGAAACAACTCTAACATCAATTACATTTGGAAATTTCAATGAGAAAAAAAATCCAAAAGGAAATATCATTTTTAGCTCTGGACATTTTTTGAAGTCTTGACATGCCTCATGAATAATTGCTTATATCGTCCATTATTTTTGAGCAAATTAATGAAAACCATATATCATTGAAAAGAGCATTAAATTCTCTATAAGCTCGTGCACAATTGGTTTTTGTAGATTGTGAAGTTTCTAAGATATTGAGCCTCAAAGTGGAAATTTAGTTAAAATTTGGTCCAAAATTTTAAATTCGATTTTCTCAAAAACTATAATTGCTAGCAATTTCAGCTAAATACCATCTGAAAGTCCTTTTCAAGAGCTACAATTCCTGGAATTTTTGTTTGAATACCGCTTTGGGTTGCCGAGATATTTGGGGTTGAAGATTTCCAATTAAAAATCCAAAGGGTAAACCTTGGAAAAAAGTGCAAAAAATTGAAAATTTCTATTTTTGAATTTTTCTAAATTTTGACTTTAGAAATCGATAGAGCGAGTCCAAATTAGTCAGAAACAACTTTAACATGAATTACATTTGGAAATTTCAATGAGAAAAAAATCCAAAAGGAAATATCATTTTTAGCTCTGGACATTTTTTGAAGTCTTGACATGCTCATGAATAATGGCTTATATCGTCCATTGTTTTTGAGCAAATTAATGAAAACTATATATCATTGAAAAGAGCATTAAATTCTCTATAAGCTCGTGCACAATTGGTTTTTGTAGATTGTGAAGTTTCCAACATATTGAGCCTCAAAGTGAAAATTTAGTTGAAATTTTGTCCAAAATTTTAAATTCGATTTTCTCAAAAACTATAAATGCTAGCAATTTCAGCTAAATCCCATCTGAAAGCCCTTTTCGAGAGCTTCAATTCCTGGAATTTTTGTTTGAATACCGCTTTGGGTTGCCGAGATATTTGGGGTTGAAGATTTCCAATTAAAAATCCAAAGGGTAAACCTTAGAAAAAAGTGCAAAAAATTGAAAATTTCTATTTTTAAATTTTTCTACATTTTGACTTTAGAAATCGATAGAGCGAGTCCAAATTAGTCAGAACCAACTTTAATATGAATTACATTTGGAAATTTCAATGAGAAAAAAAATCCGAAAGGAAATATCATTTTTAGCTCTGGACATTTTTTGAAGTCTTGACATGCTCATGAATAATTGCTTATATCGTCCATTATTTTTGAGCAAATTAATGAAAACCATATATCATTGAAAAGAGCATTAAATTCTCTATAAGCTCGTGCACAATTGGTTTTTGTAGATTGTGAAGTTTCTAAGATATTGAGCCCCAAGGTGGAAATTTAGTTGAAATTTTGTCCAAAATTTTAAATTCGATTTTCTCAAAAACTATAAATGCTAGCAATTTCAGCTAAATCCCATCTGAAAGCCCTTTTCGAGAGCTTCAATTCCTGGAATTTTTGTTTGAATACCGCTTTGGGTTGCCGAGATATTTGGGATTGAAGATTTCCAATTAAAAATCCAAAGGGTAAACCTTGGAAAAAAGTGCAAAAAATTGAAAATTTCTATTTTTGAATTTTTCTAAATTTTGACTTTAGAAATCGATAGAGCGAGTTCAAATTAGTCAGAAACAACTTTAAGATGAATTACATTTGGAAATTTCAACGAGAAAAAAAATCCAAAAGGAAATCTCATTTTTGACTCTGGACATTTTTTGAAATCTTGACATGCTTATGAATAATTGTCTATATCTTCCATTATTCTCGAGCAAATTAATAATAACTATATATCATTAGAAAGAGCATTAAATTCTCTACAAAACTGTGCAAAATTGGTTCTTCTAGATTGTGAAGTTTCCAAGATGATGAGCCCCTAAGTGGAAATTTAGTTAAAATTTTGTCCAAAATTTTAAATTCGATTTTCTCAAAAACTATAAATGCTAGCAATTTCAGCTAAATGCCATCTGAAAGCCCTTTTCGAGAGCTTCAATTCCTGGAATTTTTGTTTGAATACCGCTTTGGGTTGCCGAGATATTTGGGATTGAAGATTTCCAATTAAAAATCCAAAGGGTAAACCTTAGAAAAAAGTGCAAAAAATTGAAAATTTCTATTTTTAAATTTTTCTAAATTTTGACTTTAGAAATCGATAGAGCGAGTCCAAATTAGTCAGAAACAACTTTAACATGAAATTACATTTGGAAATTTCAACGAGAAAAAAAATCCAAAAGGAAATATCATTTTTAGCTCTGGACATTTTTTGAAGTCTTGACATGCTCATGAATAATTGCTTATATCGTCCATTATTTTTGAGCAAATTAATGAAAACCATATATCATTGAAAAGAGCATTAAATTCTCTATAAGCTCGTGCACAATTGGTTTTTGTAGATTGTGAAGTTTCTAAGATATTGAGCCTCAAAGTGGAAATTTAGTTAAAATTTTGTCCAAAATTTTAAATTCGATTTTCTCAAAAACTATAAATGCTAGCAATTTCAGCTAAATGCCATCTGAAAGCCCTTTTCGAGAGCTACAATTCCTGGAATTTTTGTTTGAATACCGCTTTGGGTTGCCGAGATATTTGGGGTTGAAGATTTCCAATTAAAAATCCAAAGGGTAAACCTTAGAAAAAAGTGCAAAAAATTGAAAATTTCTATTTTTAAATTTTTCTACATTTTGACTTTAGAAATCGATAGAGCGAGTCCAAATTAGTCAGAAACAACTCTAACATCAATTACATTTGGAAATTTCAATGAGAAAAAAAATCCAAAAGGAAATATCATTTTTAGCTCTGGACATTTTTTGAAGTCTTGACATGCTCATGAATAATTGCCTATATCTTCCATTATTCTCGAGCAAATTAATAATAACTATATATCATTGAAAAGAGCATTAAATTCTCTACAAAACTGTGCAAAATTGGTTCTTGTAAGTTGTGAAGTTTCCAAGATATTGAGCCTCAAAGTGGAAATTTAGTTAAAATTTTGTCCAAAATTTTAAATTCGATTTTCTCAAAAACTATAAATGCTAGCAATTTCAGCTAAATACCATCTGAAAGCCCTTTTTAAGAGCTACAATTCCTGGAATTTTTGTTTGAATACCGCTTTGGGTTGCCGAGATATTTGGGATTGAAGATTTCCAATTAAAAATCCAAAGGGTAAACCTTAGAAAAAAGTGCAAAAAATTGAAAATTTCTATTTTTGAATTTTTCTAAATTTTGACTTTAGAAATCGATAGAGCGAGTCCAAATTAGTCAGAAACAACTCTAACATCAATTTCATTTGGAAATTTCAATGAGAAAAAAAAATCCAAAAGGAAATATCATTTTTAGCTCTGGACATTTTTGTCTTGACATGCTCACGAATAATTGCTTATATCGTCTATTATTTTTGAGCAAATTAATGAAAACTGTATATCATTGGAAAGAGCATTAAATTCTCTATGAGCTCGTGCATAATTGGTTTTTGTAGATTGTAAGGTTTCCAAGATATTGACCGTCAAAGTGGAAATTTAGTTAAAATTTTGTCCAAAATTTTAAATTCGATTTTCTCAAAACTATAAATGCTAGCAATTTCAGCTAAATGCCATCTGAAAGCCCTTTTCGAGAGCTACAATTCCTGGAATTTTTGTTTGAATACCGCTTTGGGTTGCCGAGATATTTGGGGTTGAAGATTTCCAATTAAAAATCCAAAGGGTAAACCTTAGAAAAAAGTGCAAAAAATTGAAAATTTCTATTTTTAAATTTTTCTACATTTTGACTTTAGAAATCGATAGAGCGAGTTCAAATTAGTCAGAAACAACTCTTACATCAGTTAGTTTAAAAAAATTCGACGAGAAAAAAAAATCCAAAAGGAAATCTCATTTTTGGCTCTGGTCATTTTTTGAAATCTCGACAGGCTCCTGAATAATTGCTTATATCTTCAATTATTTTCAACCAAATTATTATTAACTATATATCATTGAAAAGAGCATTAAATTCTCTATAAGCCCATGCAAAATTGGTTTTTGTAGATTGTAAAGTTTCTAAGATATTGAGCTTCAAAGTGGAAATTTAGTTAAAATTTTGTCCAAAATTTTAAACTCGATTTTCTCAAAAACAATCAATGCTAGCGATTTAAGTTAATTATCATCTGAAAGCCCTTTTCAAAAGCTACAATTTCTGAAAAATTTGTTTCAGTACCGCTTTTGGTTATCGAGATATTTGGGATTGAAGATTTCCAATTAAAAATCCCTTAAAAAAAAATGCAAAAAATTGGAAGTTTTTATTTTTTCCTAATTTTGACTTGAGAAATCGATAGAGTGAGTCCAAATTAGTCAGAAACAACTCTAACGTCAATTACATTTAGAAATTTTGAAATATGCTATTTTTTATTTACTTACTCTTCACAAACACTGATTACTCAGTAATTACATGTAAAGGAAAGAATAGAATACAATTACGAAAAAAAAAAACAACAACAACAAATACTCCATAAGGAAATACAAACAGTAAAAAAACTGAAAACTCAAAAATTATACACACATTCTCAAGCAAAAGATTAATACATACTTTTAATAATACCAACCAACCTATGAACTAGATGCAAGAAAAAAGTACACTTGCCATGTTCCTCTTCTGGAATAATCCTCGTCAAATAAGATCATTTCACTCACAATATAGAACATGATCACTTTACTCTTCATTCAGAAAACACACAAAAAAAAATTGCCTGGCAAAGTTGAAGAGCATTCAGCTATTTTATTAAAGCCCCATTAGGCTGAATCCACGTTGTGCAACTGACACCCAACAGCAAATCATAATTCAACCATTTCTCGCTGGCATTCGGTAGTGCCCCACTGCTACACTTACCGTAAATAGTATAATCGTGCAACAAATGGGATCCTAACCTATTATGGTGGACGGCTTCCCCAGGGGACACCAATTGCCAAAAAGAAATAATCAAACCATGATTTGTTGCCCTGGATATCAGTGAAACGCAATTTCAATTATTAAGAGGAAGTTATTGAAAACATTTACAGCCAAACTTGCTCAACTAGAAGTAGCTTTAAAGGGCAGTTAGGATCATTATTTTACCAATAGCTTATTCCTCCACAATAGTCTACTGATGAATGACCAATATAAAAATAGACAAGAAAAGAGAGGTACAATAGCTTGTTTACATTACCTGGTCTCTTTTTTTTACTTCAATGATGATTTATCAATTACGTATAAAATATTGAGATAAACAAATCCTTCCATTTTTACTTGCTGAAATGCACAAAATACCAACTTTGAATTGTTTCGAAAATGTGATGGAAAACCTTTTGAGAATGATCATTACCTATTCAAGTGGCAAAAATTGTCAAAACTTGTTTTATTAGAAAGTGAATAAACCGGCTCTTATATGTATTAAGAGACTCTTGAAGAGTCGGGAATAGACAGAAATTTGAGAATTAAAAGGCAGACATTAAGGGAAAATTCCCTTAAGTAGATAAGTAGACTTGAGTACCTATATGTTGTTTCTATTTGAAACTCTGTAGAAATATTTAGGAATAAACAATTCAAGAGCCGGGAATAAACAAAAATTGAGACGGAAAAATAGAGAAGTATTTGTGAGAAGGAATCCATCATTCGACTATTTCACAAATTGAATGGGTTTACCTAGGTATTCTCTTCTCTGATATAAAGTAAAAGCTTAAGCGTAAGTTTTATCGCAATTTACTATCCTGTGTAAACTACGTTTAAGGGTGGGAAGAGGTGTTGAAATAGAATCCTTTGGGACTCGGATGTCCAAAAAAACTCAATATATTTTTCATATTTTGATGGGGTTTGAGTCAATGAAATTTTGCATCGGGTATGGAAATTATGTAAAATAGCTGCTAACTTCACACTGGTTTTATGTTTTATTCCCGATACACTGTAAATCATTTTTGTTTCAGATTGGCAGAATATCTAAGTTACAGCAACGAGTATCTTCAATGTCTGTGGCAAAAAAGCTACAAGCTTCACCAAGTGCTTGTTGGTTTATACCAATGCGAATTTATGGCGTTGAGCATTAAATTGATGCTTCTAAAAGCATTAGACACGTACTTGCTACACAAATTCTCCATTGAACGATTTTTGGGAAATTCTTTAGCACAAAACGGTCTTTCTGATAATAATTTGCCTATAACTGATCGCAACGGCTACAAAATTATCGTCGAGGCAATAAAAAAAAATCCTCTAGTACGCGAAAAGTTTGCTTTGAGCTCTATTTTGAAAAAACTAAATTTATATGAAATATTGTATAAAATGCATAGTAGTTTGATCAAGCTAAGAAATCCTGCGCATGATATTTCAGCTCAAGAGATCAATTTAATTACAAAATCCTTGAATCAAATATTGAATTACTGCAATGGAGGCCCGTTTGGTTTGTCGCAACCTAAAAGGTTTTTGCCAGTTGCGGCCCAATTTGAAATAATGCGCTCTGACACCAGAAACATTTTGGTTGATTACTTTAAAATGTTCAACCTACTTCAATGCTTCGTATTACTACTCACATCTCCAGACACATTAAATCTCCCATTAATTAAAACCCCAATCTTCGAAATAGTTGCTAATTTACTAGAAAGCAAAGAAGGCTTGCAATATTTATCAGAAAACAGCGAAACCATAAATGTTTTGTTAAAGTGTCTTTTACGAACAGATGAAGAAATGCAATACAGCCTTAACGATTCTATTGAAGTTCACTCTCACAATTTAGGCTTAAAAATTGCTTATAAGCTTCAAGGCTTATATCACATTGAATGCTTATTATTGGACATTGGCCTCAAACACAATTACGACTTTGATAATTTCGATATAATTGATCAATTGCACGGGATGTTTTGTCTGACATTTTCTAGTGTCGGTAAATTTGCCATTGGTGAACTCTTAGGCATGGGCGACAATATACAATGCCTGCTGCAATTTTTGGAACAAGTAAATTTCAAATCAGAAATGAGCTTGATGAAATTCAAACAATCGGCTAGTGCAGGGTATATTTTGGATTTGCTTTATTATCCTATAGTGACTGTGGCAAATGTTCAATTTTTGGAAAAATATGCTTCAAAGCTTCGAGATTGTATTGGGTTGTTGTACGAAACATCTACAGCTTCTAAGATAAATGAAATCAAAACCTATTTGTCACCTTTTGATAATATTACAAGCTTAAACTATGATAATATGTCTCAGTTTTTAGATATAATAGACAGACATACGCCTACAGTGATTTCACATCCAGGCTCTTTGATTACTTGTTTGAGGATTATACAGCATTTAGGCATTTCAACTTATGATAACAAAATCCCAATCATATCTGAAAATCCTTTATATAATTATATGGAGTTGAAATATAAGCATGTAATTTTACAAATTTATTCGTTAGATGGTATTAATATTTTGATTAAGTTGCTGCAAAAATTGTGCAATCATTTTGAACAACCTGGTTTGCACAGTTCAATATTTGTATCAAATCAAGGCCTGATTTTAGTCAACATTATTTATCCTGTGTTATTATTATTCAACAAAATAATGGCTTATGTTGTTCAGTGTAGAAACACTAAATTTAAAGATTTAACTTCAGTGCCTGTATTACTAAAAACTTATAATTTACTAAACAGCTTTCCTTTGAATAGTTTATTGAGTCGTAAATGTAAAATAGCTATAATAGATTGTTTGTTGGTTTACACTCAGCCAATGTCCGATGAAATTTCCGAAAAAGACTCTTTAAATAAAACCTTATGGTCTCAAATGCTGGGAGAAGTTATTAAGTTTGTCACAACAGCCCCATATACTTTTGTGTCGGGACTTTTAGTATTATCAGAACTCTTACCGTTGCCTTTACCCATACACACTGGAGACGATTTGTCTAAAGACGAAATCTCATGGACAATAAACTTAAGAAAATTATGGTCAGCTCATTTGCATCCGCATAGTGCCATTTTGCAAGACACTGTCCATAAAATTTGCATTTCTACTCAGCCCCAATTGCTGAATCTACTGAGACGTATTTGCGTACAAATCTCAGACTTGGCAGCTAATTCCGCTTTGATGATTGCTAGAGGATTTTTGGATTTAGCTTTTAAGGCTTTAACAACAAATTTGCCTTGCACCAGCCATGTGGCAAGGCTTCTAAACTTCTTAGCTTGCCTAGTGACTCACAATACAATAAAGTGTGCAGTTTTACATTTGATTCACTGTGACGATAATTACTCGAAATTGATTCCTGCGTTTGAGCGTATATTAAAGCTGAGTGATGGTTCGACTAGTCACATTCAAGCACAAGAGTGTGTTTTGAGTATTATACAAAGCTTTTGTGATGTGGAGGTTAGTTTGTTGCAAAACTCTGAGACGTTAAAGGTGACTTCGGAAGTTTATTTGGCCAATGCTTTGCCTATTAAAGAACACTTGCTGAGTTTTATTGGAGTTATACTCGACCATTTAGCCACAGAGAATTCTTTCGTCACTTATTTGCCAATTGTAAGGACTTTGTTACTACTAACCGAGCACGACTACGGATTCTTTCATTTGCGGGAAAACTTGTTGAAAAGGGAGAATTTATTTGGAGTGATGCTCAACAAATTTGTGAAAAGTTTCTCCAAAACCAGTCCGGAGTGTTTGTCTACTTTGAACATTTTGGTGGAGTTTTTGAGGATTTGTTTGACGACCGAAGAAAGCGATGGCGTTTTGCTTTATACTCCGAGAACTATTATGTTGAGCGTTGAGGAAATGAAGAATTTGATTGGTTGGAGTCAAGTTGGGGAAGGTGAAAAGCACCCGTTTATTATACTTGAAGAAATATTGAAGGTGAGTTGAATTATTTATTATAATCACTTATTTCAAGCTTAAGTTTTTATAAATTAGACTAATTGGAATAACTCATTTAGGCTCGGTTTATTCATCTTCACGTAAACTTGCTGGTAACTATCTGCAAGAAAAATTTACTGGTGCTTAATTCTATTGGTCGGCGGATAACTACTGACAGTTTATTGAAAGGTGAATAACATGGGTTTAGATTCATACTAGCGGGAAAGGGGTTAGCATGAATCCAATACCATGTACAGTAATTTTCATCTGAAAAAAGGCACTCGGAAAAATAGATAAATCACCCTAAATTGCTTAACACGATTTTATCTCAGGAAATGAGCTGAAATTTTCAGGGATTGTAGTCCTTTGAAAGGGATAAAATTCAGTGAAAGCTTCAGCTTTCTATCTAAAATAGAAAAAAAGTTATGACCTTTCAAAGTTTTCCAAAATCTAAATCATAAGGTAGCTACCTTCTTACTAAAACGATGAAATTTCAAATTTTTTTTTGTCGAGATTATGTGTCCTAATGGTCAATCAACATACCCCAAACTCCATACACTAAATTATTCTCAGATTTGAAGCCGAAATCTATGAAAAAAGGCACTCAGAAAAATTGAAAAATTGATAAATCACCCCAAATTGCTTAACACGATTTCATCTCAGAAACTATAAGTGCAAATGAGCTGAAATTTTCAGGGATTGTAGTCCTTTCAAAGAGATGAAATTCCGTGAAAGTTTCAGCTTTCTATCTAAAATAGAAAAAAAGTTATGACCTTTCAAAGTTTTCCAAAATCCAAATCATAAGGCAGGTACCTTCTTACTGAAACGATGAAATTTCAATTTTTTTTTTGTCGAGATTTTGTAACCTAATGGTTAATCAACATACCCCAAACTCCATACACTAAATTATTCTCAGATTTGAAGCCGAGATCTATGAAAAAAGGCACTCAGAAAAATTGAAAAATTGATAAATCACCCCAAATTGCTTAACACGATATTATCTCAGAAACTATAAGTGCAAATAAGCTGAAATTTTCAGGGATTGTAGTCCTTTCAAAGGGATGAAATTCAGTGAAAGTTTCAGCTTTCTATCTAAAATAGAAAAAAAGTTATGACCTTTCAAAGTTTTCCAAAATCTAAATCATAAGGCAGGTACCTTCTTACTGAAACGATGAAATTTCAAATTTTTTTTTGTCGAAATTTTGTATCCTAATGGTTAATCAACATAGCCCAAACTCCATACACTAAATTATTCTCAGATTTGAAGCCGAAATCTATGAAAAAAGGCACTCAGAAAAATTGAAAAATTGATAAATCACCCCAGATTGCTTAACACGATATTATCTCAGAAACTATAAGTGCAAATAAGCTGAAATTTTCAGGGATTGTAGTCCTTTCAAAGGGATGAAATTCAGTGAAAGTTTCAGCTTTCTATCTAAAATAGAAAAAAAGTTATGACCTTTCAAAGTTTTCCAAAATCTAAATCATAAGGAAGGTACCTTCTTACTGAAACGATGAAATTTCAAATTTTTTTTTGTCGAGATTTTGTATCCTAATGGTTAATCAACATACCCCAAACTCCATACACTAAATTATTCTCAGATTTGAAGCCGAAATCTATGAAAAAAGGCACTCAGAAAAATTGAAAAATTGATAAATCACCCCAAATTGCTTAACACGATTTCATCTCAGGAACTATAAGTGCAAATGAGCTGAAATTTTCAGGGATTGTAGTCCTTTAGAAGGGATAAAATTCAGTGAAAGTTTCAGCTTTCTATCTAAAATAGAAAAAAAGTTATGACCTTTCAAAGTTTTCCAAAATCTAAATCATAAGGTAGCTACCTTCTTACTAAAACGATGAAATTTCAAATTTTTTTTTGTCGAGATTATGTGTCCTAATGGTCAATCAACATACCCCAAACTCCATACACTAAATTATTCTCAGATTTGACGCCGAAATCTATGAAAAAAGGCACTCAGAAAAATTGAAAAATTGATAAATCACCCCAAATTGCTTAACACGATTTTATCTCAGAAACTATAAGTGCAAATGAGCTGAAATTTTCAGGGATTGTAGTCCCTTGGAAGGGATAAAATTCAGTGAAAGTTTCAGCTTTCTATCTAAAATAGAAAAAAAGTTATGACCTTTCAAAGTTTTCCAAAATCTAAATCATAAGGTAGCTACCTTCTTACTAAAACGATGAAATTTCAAATTTTTTTTTGTCGAGATTATGTGTCCTAATGGTCAATCAACATACCCCAAACTCCATACACTAAATTATTCTCAGATTTGAAGCCGAAATCTATGAAAAAAGGCACTCAGAAAAATTGAAAAATTGATAAATCACCCCAAATTGCTTAACACGATTTCATCTCAGAAACTATAAGTGCAAATGAGCTGAAATTTTCAGGGATTGTAGTCCTTTCAAAGAGATGAAATTCCGTGAAAGTTTCAGCTTTCTATCTAAAATAGAAAAAAAGTTATGACCTTTCAAAGTTTTCCAAAATCCAAATCATAAGGTAGCTACCTTCTTACTAAAACGATGAAATTTCAAATTTTTTTTTGTCGAGATTATGTGTCCTAATGGTCAATCAACATACCCCAAACTCCATACACTAAATTATTCTCAGATTTGAAGCCGAAATCTATGAAAAAAGGCACTCAGAAAAATTGAAAAATTGATAAATCACCCCAAATTGCTTAACACGATTTCATCTCAGAAACTATAAGTGCAAATGAGCTGAAATTTTCAGGGATTGTAGTCCTTTCAAAGAGATGAAATTCAGTGAAAGTTTCAGCGTTCTATCTAAAATAGAAAAAAAGTTATGACCTTTCAAAGTTTTCCAAAATCCAAATCATAAGGTAGCTACCTTCTTACTAAAACGATGAAATTTCAAATTTTTTTTTGTCGAGATTATGTGTCCTAATGGTCAATCAACATACCCCAAACTCCATACACTAAATTATTCTCAGATTTGAAGCCGAAATCTATGAAAAAAGGCACTCAGAAAAATTGAAAAATTGATAAATCACCCCAAATTGCTTAACACGATTTCATCTCAGAAACTATAAGTGCAAATGAGCTGAAATTTTCAGGGATTGTAGTCCTTTCAAAGAGATGAAATTCCGTGAAAGTTTCAGCTTTCTATCTAAAATAGAAAAAAAGTTATGACCTTTCAAAGTTTTCCAAAATCCAAATCATAAGGTAGCTACCTTCTTACTAAAACGATGAAATTTCAAATTTTTTTTTGTCGAGATTATGTGTCCTAATGGTCAATCAACATACCCCAAACTCCATACACTAAATTATTCTCAGATTTGAAGCCGAAATCTATGAAAAAAGGCACTCAGAAAAATTGAAAAATTGATAAATCACCCCAAATTGCTTAACACGATTTCATCTCAGAAACTATAAGTGCAAATGAGCTGAAATTTTCAGGGATTGTAGTCCTTTAGAAGGGATAAAATTCAGTGAAAGTTTCAGCTTTCTATCTAAAATAGAAAAAAAGTTATGACCTTTCAAAGTTTTCCAAAATCTAAATCATAAGGTAGCTACCTTCTTACTAAAACGATGAAATTTCAAATTTTTTTTTGTCGAGATTTTGTATCCTAATGGTTAATCAACATACCCCAAACTCCATACACTAAATTATTCTCAGATTTGAAGCCGAAATCTATGAAAAAAGGCACTCAGAAAAATTGAAAAATTGATAAATCACCCCAAATTGCTTAACACGATATTATCTCAGAAACTATAAGTGCAAATAAGCTGAAATTTTCAGGGATTGTAGTCCTTTCAAAGGGATGAAATTCAGTGAAAGTTTCAGCTTTCTATCTAAAATAGAAAAAAAGTTATGACCTTTCAAAGTTTTCCAAAATCTAAATCATAAGGCAGGTACCTTCTTACTGAAACGATGAAATTTCAAATTTTTTTTTGTCGAAATTTTGTATCCTAATGGTCAATCAACATACCCCAAACTCCATACACTAAATTATTCTCAGATTTGAAGCCGAAATCTATGAAAAAAGGCACTCAGAAAAATTGATAAATCACCCCAAATTGCTTAACACGATTTTATCTCAGAAACTATAAGTGCAAATAATCTGAAATTTTCAGGGATTGTAGTCCTTTCAAAGGGATCAAATTCAGTGAAAGTTTCAGCTTTCTATCTAAAATAGAAAAAAAGTTATGACCTTTCAAAGTTTTCCAAAGTCTAAATCATAAAGCAGGTACCTTCTTACTGAAACGATGAAATTTCAATTTCTTTTTTTGTCGAGATAATGTGTCCTAATGGTCAATCAACATACCCCAAACTCCATACGCTAAATTATTCTCAGATTTGAAGCCGAAATCTATGAAAAAAGGCACTCAGAAAAATTGAAAAATTGATAAATCACCCCAAATTGCTTAACACGATTTTATCTCAGGAACTATAAGTGCAAATGAGCTGAAATTGTCAGGGATTGTAGTCCTTTAAAAGGGATAAAATTCAGTGAACAAATATTTTTTTTTGTCTAAGGCGTGGTTTAGTCATTTTCAGATAAACTTGCTGGTAACTATCTGCAAGATAAATTCACCGTTCTAATCAATACAGATTACGTTTTTATCCATCAGATTGCAAACCAGCCCTAAGTGTAGTTTGATTAAACTATATGAGGAGAAGCAATAATAACGTGTTTCTAAAGACTTATCAATTGAATGTTTTTGTATATAAAACGCCTCAAAAATTACCCTTCAGAAAGAAATCGAAGACGACAACAGTTTGGAAACAATCCTGGAAGGTCTCACGTTATTTCTGAAACAACTCGATCAACCTACGACAACCGCTTCAACAGCCGAAGAAGTTCTTCTACCAACTCCTCAACCTTTGCTCGCTCAATATTCGGGCCGGATAATCTCTAGTTCGTCGGATGCTTGCGACGAAAGACTCACCGATCGTTATTGGTTGATTTTACCTTCGGAGGAAGGCGAAGGCGAATTGGAAACGGTCCCGTGCGATCTGTTCGAAATTTGCCGCCAACTGCCTCCCGAGTTCAATTTAATCAAGGAAGTGGAAAAATTGTGCAGGATTTCTAGGACCGATCCACCCCATGTGGATAAGGCTATCAAGCATTGCGACGAGCAAAGAATTAAAACTAGAAAACCTTTCAGTAAGTCAAATCAATTTCAATAAATTAATCAGATTGTTAATAAGTGTGAGATTTAGTTACTCCAATGAGGCCGCGTGGCTTTCCAAGAACAACTCCCCAAAGACCAGATTTGTTCAGATCGAGACCCCCAAACACTTCAAGACCTCCTTCTTTACATGTTGATGATTTTGTGGCTTTGGAAACTTGCGGCGCCCAACCTACAGGTCCAACCGGTGCTGGCTTTTCAATTAGTAGCAACATTGTTAATCAATTTCCGATTTCAGGCTACAACAAATTGAGTAGAGATATTTTGGCTACCAATAGGATGGCCAGAGGTGCCAGAGGAAGGGCTTTTGTCACGTCTGAGAGGAGCATGCAATACAACAGACAAATGTGAGTGAATTGTTGGTATTTTTGTAGAGTTTTGTTGATGTTTTTTTTGGGATTTTTTTAGGCCTTGGTGGGGTGCTTCGATGGGTAGAGGCCCTTATTTTTAAGTTACTAGTGTTTAAAAAATAATAAATATTTCAATTTTTAATGTATTTTTTTTTAATTCAAAACCTACACATAACATCAGATTAATATAGCATAGACTCTCTTCTATACAGGGTGTTTGAAAAAAAATTACAATTAATATGTGTTTTTCAGATGTTTACCTGAAAAATGTCAGCTTATCTATGGGAACACCCTGTATTATAACATGCTGTATATTATGTAAAGGGTGATACATTGGAAGGTGATGAGTATTTAAATGGGAATCACGTTTTGTAACAGTACACTTATTTATGAATCACCCTGTATGATCTTTAAATCTACTTGAACAATTTCTAAAATTCTATTCACGTACACTTGGCCAAGCATTATTGATCAAAATTCTATACATAGAAAATTGGTCTGGAATCAGCCTTTTTTGAAAAAAAAAATCAATAGAAAACAATACATTATAGCTCAAAAAAGTCAGCCTTCATAGTATCAATGCATCAATGCAACACATAAAAATAAAATCAACAGTAGTTGATCAACGTATAGATTTGATGCTGGATTGCACCTGTCCGAACTGCACCTGGAGCAATGTTCCTTCTTCAAAAAATTAGTATCGGCCCTTTTCATCTTATGACAAATGTCCAAACTTATTTGCTCGGCCAATTGGCAACCTCTAATTATGTACTTTTTGTTGCCAACTAGAAGAAAAATATACTTATACATAATTATTTAAGTTTAAATTGGAATTATTTACGTCTAGTGACAACTTTCAAACAATCCAAATCGATGTGTCTGGCCATTGCCTCGGTGTCCACTTCGAATATCTTGTCGTAGCTGGGGTCAATTTTTTTGGCCAGTTCTTGGGTCTTTTCCAGAGCTGTCCGGTCGCATTTTGCTAAAGGCATGTCGTACGACTCTGGATAACGACAAGCTGTTTCGTTGTCTCTTGTTGAACATAGATAACATCTTACGTCTCTTGTTTCACCTAAAAATAATTCAAAAAGTACCTAGAGTATAGGCAAACGTTAAATAAAAAAAGGGCCTGAATGAAAGATTTATAGCGACAGGTGCCCATTGAATTCTAAGAAATTGGCAGTCAACATGACATCAACAAATAGGGGTAAATTACCTTTTATACAAACCGAATTTTCATAAATCCTTTTGTGACTGTATTCCTAAGATTGTGGTAATGGAAAAAGTATGGATGAACTGAGAGATGACCCAGGAAGATTCTGGAGGACTACTGTAATAAAGTGTTTGAGAAAAATTGAAAAACAAATGGTAAAAAGAAGGACATTCATGTTTTTCCTATCCCAGGCTCTTTCTTTTAAGTCCACAGGCCCTGCCTTTGGTTTTGTGAGAAATTATTATAATTCCACTTGCCCTGCCTTATTTTCAGTGTTTGTTGGGTGTGAGGTTTCAGGCAATTTCAGGTGTCCCAACTTTTGGTTCGTTATTGGTGTGTTTGCTGTAGCCTTACTTTTTCCTGCTGATGCAAAAGGTTTTGGGTTTTTTAAGTTTGTGGTATTCCACAAATCCACACATAAAAAAAACACCTTTGGAGGATTTGGGCCTAAAAGACCGAAAATTCAATTAGCAGCGCGTTTATTTTACGCGAAAAACGGAGGAAAATCGAAGCACATTCACCTAAAACGTCCCGATACAAAAAACTGGGTTTTATTGACTTGGAAGGCACTCGAAAAAACTTGTTTACATTATCCACAACACACATCATATCCGCAAAATTGAGACGAAAAAACTTATCAACAAGAAAAGAAATCTAGAAAAATTGAAAAGAAAAGGGTAGATAAAAGGACATTCATGTTTTTCTGTTTCAAGCTCAATTTTAGCCCCAGAAATTTTCTTAAAATCTGACATGGTCCCACAAAGTTGCCCACAGTTTTGGGAATTTTCAACGAATCAACTTGTATTATAAATTTTCTGAAACAAGATTAAATTCTCTATAAATTCAACAAAAAGTAAATCAATTACTCTTATAGTCTTTGAGAAATTAGACTTCAAATTTGGAATTTGATTGAGATTTTATCAAAAGCTTCAAGATCAAATAACGCAAAAACCACAAGTGATAAAAATATTTTCTAAATGAAGTATTGAAGTACTCAATGGGAGCTACAAACTCAGAAAAATTTGACTTCATACAACTTATATTCACTGAGATATTGCAAATGGAAGATTTTGAATGAAAAGTCCAAAGGGCGTAGAGCCTTGAAGAATGAAAATTTTCAATTTTCCAAATTTTGTAAAATGGACTTTTCCATTCGGAAGATGAGGTCAAAATTAGTCGGAAATAAATCCTAGATTATTTTCAGGAGGTTGATTTTATGAGAAAAAAAAATTGAAAAACAAATCTCAATGATAACCTCGGAAATTTTCTCAAAATCTGACATGATCTCAAAAATTTACTCATAGTTTTGAGAATTTTCAACGAATCAACTTGTATTATAGATTTTCTGAAAGAGGATTAAATTCTCTATAAAACCACCAAAAACTTAATCAATTGCTCTTATAGGCTTTGAGAAATTAGGCTTCAAAATTGGGATTTGATTGCGATTTTATCAAAAACTTAAAGAGCAAATAGCTTAAAAACCACAAGTGATAAAAATATTTTCTAAATGAAGTATTGAAGTACTCAATGGGAGCTACAAACTCAGAAAAATTTGACTTCATACAACTTATATTCACTGAGATATTGCAAATGGAAGATTTTGAATGAAAAGTCCAAAGGGCGTAGAGCCTTGAAGAATGAAAATTTTCAATTTTCCAAATTTTGTAAAATGGACTTTTCCATTCGGAAGATGAGGTCAAAATTAGTCGGAAATAAATCCTAGATTATTTTCGGGAGGTTGATTTTATGAGAAAAAAAAATTGAAAAACAAATCTCAATGATAACCTCGGAAATTTTCTCAAAATCTGACATGATCTCAAAAATTTACTCATAGTTTTGAGAATTTTCAACGAATCAACTTGTATTATAGATTTTCTGAAAGAGAATTAAATTCTCTATAAAACCACCAAAAACTTAATCAATTGCTCTTATAGGCTTTGAGAAATTAGGCTTCAAAATTGGGATTTGATTGCGATTTTATCAAAAACTTAAAGAACAAATAGCTTAAAAACCACAAGTGATAAAAATATTTTCTAAATGAAGTATTGAAGTACTCAATGGGAGGTACAAACTCAGAAAAATTTGACTTCATACAACTTATATTCACTGAGATATTGCAAATGGAAGATTTTGAATGAAAAGTCCAAAGGGTCTATGTAGAGTCTTGAAGAATGGAAATTTTCAATTTTCCAAATTTTGTAAAATGGACTTTTCCATTCGGAAGATGAGGTCAAAATTAGTCGGAAATAAATCCTAGATTATTTTCAGGAGGTTGATTTTATGAGAAAAAAAAATTGAAAAACAAATCTCAATGATAACCTCGGAAATTTTCTCAAAATCTGACATGATCTCAAAAATTTGCTCATAGTTTTGGTAATTTTCAACGAATCAACTTGTATTATAGATTTTATGAAAGAGAATTAAATTCTCTATAAAACCACCAAAAACTTAATCAATTGCTCTTATAGGCTTTGAGAAATTAGGCTTCAAAATTGGGATTTGATTGCGATTTTATCAAAAACTTAAAGAACAAATAGCTTAAAAACCACAAGTGATAAAAATATTTTCTAAATGAAGTATTGAAGTACTCAATGGGAGGTACAAACTCAGAAAAATTTGACTTCATACAACTTATATTCACTGAGATATTGCAAATGGAAGATTTTGAATGAAAAGTCCAAAGGGTCTATGTAGAGTCTTGAAGAATGGAAATTTTCAATTTTCCAAATTTTGTAAAATGGACTTTTCCATTCGGAAGATGAGGTCAAAATTAGTCGGAAATAAATCCTAGATTATTTTCAGGAGGTTGATTTTATGAGAAAAAAAAATTGAAAAACAAATCTCAATGATAACCTCGGAAATTTTCTCAAAATCTGACATGATCTCAAAAATTTGCTCATAGTTTTGGTAATTTTCAACGAATCAACTTGTATTATAGATTTTATGAAAGAGAATTAAATTCTCTATAAAACCACCAAAAACTTAATCAATTGCTCTTATAGGCTTTGAGAAATTAGGCTTCAAAATTGGGATTTGATTGCGATTTTATCAAAAACTTAAAGACCAAATAGCTTAAAAACCACAAGTGATAAAAATATTTTCTAAATGAAGTATTGAAGTACTCAATGGGAGCTACAAACTCGGAAAAATTTGACTTCATACAGGTTATATTCACTGAGATATTGCCAATGGAAGATTTTGAATGAAAAGTCCAAAGGGTCTATGTAGAGTCTTGAAGAATGGAAATTTTCAATTTTCCAAATTTTGTAAAATGGACTTTTCCATTCGAAGGACGAGGTCAAAATTAGTCGGAAATAAATCCTAGATTATTTTCAGGAGGTTGATTTTATGAGGGAAAAAAATTGAAAAGCAAATCTCAATGATAGCCTCGGAAATTTTCTCAAAATCTGAGAATTAAATTCTCTATAAAACCACCAAAAACTAAATCAATCTCGCTTATAGGCTTTGAGAAATAAGGCTTCAAAGTTGAAATTTTTCGACAAATTCAAGAGCCAGAAATAAACAAAAATTTATCGAGAAAAATTGAGAAACATGAAAGAAAGAAATTCAAGTGAATTTAAGTATAAAAGTTGTTACCTATACACAAAGTAGAAGAAAACGAAAATTCAAGAGCCGGGAATAAACAAACATTGAGACGTGAAAACTGAAAATTAACTAGAGAAGAAATGTACGTACATTTTTACGGATCCTAATTTTTTTGAGACACTTCTAACGAACATCTTTCCCTTATTTCATCCATACTTTTTTCATTACCGCATTCTTGCAAATCTAAAGGATTTATGAGAATCTAGTTGGGTATAGTTGAAAGAAGGCCTAACCGCGATTCGATAGATTATGGAACTTCATATTGATAAAAGATCCAGTGGTAAAAAGAGGCAATTTTAATAAAAGTTGGTTTAGTAATAAGAGACTTTAGGGGCCTATAATGTCAAAATTTCAAATAGAGCTGCTCAAAATAACAATGAAAATTTAAATTTAAATGTAAAAGCAAGAAAAGAAATTTGATTTATTGAAAATATTTATGTGTAAGTGACGATTAATAAACTGTCCAAAATAGATTATATGTTTACTCCATACTACATTGGCAAATATCCAAATTGTGCAATGCGTAAAACTTTACCCAAAACAACTAAATTTAAATCAAATACTGCAAATCTAATTAATCAATTAGGTATTACCTGGCTTCCATCCAATAACCATCATCACCATCAAAACTAAACTTCCAGTAGTAGACAACATTCCTATAGAAAATTTGAAAAATTAATAAGAAGTTGCTGTTTACCGCTAGAAAAATATCAAAGAAGTGAAAGAACTTTTCCGTAAACAAAACAAACTTCTGCGCAAAATTCACCCTTCTTTAAGATATAGTCAATTCAGAAAATCCAGCAATACTCTACTTACCTTCAGTCAGTTGAAATTGTAACTAGACTAGAAACAAAATGAAACACATTTGCAACGTCCCACTTTATTGAAAAATTGGTTTTTGCAGCCTGGCAAACTAACACTCGCTCGATTAATTGGCTAATTAAAAAAATGACACTATTGAGTAAAAGTTTATTTATATATGAATTAATATTTTTGTAAATTGGATGATTTTTGGTGTAAAGGCAAAGGAATCAAAATTCCTCAGAAAATATGTCTAGTTTAAGACTTTTGGTTCATCAAAATCTTTAACTTTCCATCAGGCCCTTGTTAAGTACCTATCTGAATATTTCTGTTACTTAGAGGGCTTTTCAGCTTTCTGATTCTGTAGTTTTTGACAGCAAAGTTTCAACTTTGAAGCCTAATTTCTCAAAGCCTATACAATCAATTAATACTGTTTTTGCTGATTTTGTATAGAGAATTTAATCCTCTTTCAGAAAATCTATAATACGAGTTGATTCGTTGACAATTACCAAAAATTTTAATCAAATTTTTGAGACCATGATTAGCTATTTCTTTAATCAAAAAAAGTCTCAAATCAACAATTATTGAGCAAGACCCTTGAGACTGATGCAAAATTTCAGCTTTTCAAGTAGTTAGACAAAAATTGCAACTTGTTATTTATTATCTTCGACACACATCGCCATATTTTCCCCATATTATCTTCTATTACCGATATGAAAATATTGTTTGTCAAAATGCAATACCAAGCCGAAGGGAAAAATCACAAATTGATTGAGTAAACTAATAACTATTAATAATCTTATCGCTTGTGTATGTAAATACAAATATCACCAATGCCCAATTGTTGAATCGACTATAGAATTTTATCCCTTAGGAAAGCCATATATGGGCGACTATCGTCAGGATTTCTGGCGCCTCATCGTCCTATTTTTCCCTTTGCTTTTGTTGTGGGGGTGGCATTTATTTATTATATACATTAAGGAAAATTGGGTCAACAAATATTTTCCATAGAAATTACCTAAAAAGGTCCTCAAAAGTTGTATATGTGAATCACTTTTTCTAACATTACAGTAAAGTAGAAATTTACGTAACTACTTTACATAATTTATAAGTTTTTTTCAAGTCAAAATAATGTAAAATTCAACTTATATGTAACGCATAATGTTATGCTCAAACATATTTTTGGCTGCCCATCACTGGTAAAACTTCTACAAATCCATTATTGTTTACGATGATTTGTAACTAGTTTTTGAAGAATCCAAAAAATAACAATTATTCTGATATCTATAATGCTTATAGAAAGCTATAGATTTGCTCATAGATGAGCACGGAATTGACCTACTAGTTTACATAATATATTTACATAAACTTGACATGAAACTTTACGTAAATGTAACAGATCTGGGATGATGTCATATGCTATACTCCTTGCTTAGGGGATTTTTTCTATTTTACATCATTCAATTGCTAATCGATGTAGAAATATTTGTTTGTTTCTAGGTATATTTCATAAGACTTTTGAAGTACCTTTACATTTAAATGCTTGAGATTCTCAATTAAATTCCGATTTTTTCTGGCAAGCTGATAACGTTTTTAGCACATCAATATTCAAAATTTCAGCTAGAAACTTGCAAAGTAATGTATGAACTACTAAAGAATGGGACACACTGTATAATAAATTACCCTATAGAGTGAGAATCGGTGCAAAATTTTTACAATAAAACTACTTAAACATGTCTTAAATTTGATTATATTTTTTTTATCAACAATGATTGATTGATTGATATTCCATGAAATCAATACATGAAAAGTTTCGAAAGAGTTTTTATCAATCCAGAGATAATGGCACAACATTATAAATGAACCATTCAATGGAAAATTGCAATCAGTTTTCCTTTTTCCCTGAAATCATGCATTTTGCAAGTGCGATTTTGGTTCTTTTTCTAGTAGGAACAGGTGAGGGAAATCGATTGTTAATTATTAAAAATAAAAATGTTTTTTTTTTAAAATAAGGTTTTGCTACTAAATGTAAAACCTGCCGAGGTGCAAGCTGTAGTTCAAACACATTAGAATTGGAATGTACTAAATACTTACCAGCCTTACCATTTAATTTGCAATTTGATTCCAATAAAATAGAAGAAGGCCATGAATATGGATGTTTGGAACTTACTTACCATGACGGTAAGTCTATTAATACATTTTTCAATAATTCTAAATTAATATTTTCAAGGTGATTCAATTCAACAATGTATTTTTTCGAGTAAATTGGAGTCATTCTGTACGATTTTGTTGGAAAATAACGTAGACGTTGAAACGTGCAATGTAGAACCAGTTCGAGTTGGTTCCAGAAACGTTAGAAGTTTTTATATTAATGCTGAATTAAATGATGAAGATGTTGAGCCTCAAAGCAATTCTGAAAGCTCCAGCACTGAATCCACTACTAAAAGTTCAAGCACTGAATCCACTACTAAAAGCTCAAGCACTGAATCCACTACTAAAAGCTCAAGCACTGCATCTACTACTAAAAGTTCAAGCACTAAACCCACCAGCACTGAATCCACTACTAAAAGCTCAAGCACTGAATCTACTACTAAAAGTTCAAGCACTAAACCAACTAGCACTGAATCCACTACTAAAAGCTCAAGCACTGCATCTACTACTAAAAGTTCAAGCACTAAACCCACTAGCACTGAATCCACTACTAAAAGCTCAAGCACTGCAACTACTACCAAAAGTTCAAGCACTGAACCCACTAGCACTGAATCCACTACTAAAAGCTCAAGCACTGAATCTACTACTAAAAGTTCAAGCACTAAACCAACTAGCACTGAATCCACTACTAAAAGCTCAAGCACTGCATCTACTAATAAAAGTTCAAGCACTAAGCCCACTAGCACTGAATCCAGTACTAAAAGTTCGAGTGATACTACAACTCAAAGTACCAGTACTACCCCGAGCTCGGCAAAAATGCATTTGATTTCATCTACTTCCCTGCTCCTTCTAATAGCAGCTTTACTATTATAACCATCAGTTATTTGATATTTTTTTGTAAAATAAATTATAAATTTAATTCAAACATACTGTTTTAATTTATTTCCTAATATAAAATACTACTAATAATATAAAATAAAATAATGACGATAAATGGATTTTGGAAGCTGCGCTAACAGTTGGAGCTGATTCTTCAGTGACTTCAAAAACTACAGTAGTTAAAGTTATATTTACTTTAGAATCATCATCCAAAGGAATATTTTCCAAGTTATTCACTCCAGAATCATCATTGCCTGAAGGAATAGTTGGAACAATATCAAATGAGCCTATTATAATAGAATCTTGCCAGTGAATTGTTAAGTTTGAATCAAAATCATTAGTGCCTGAAATGTTGAATGTTGGACTATTTGGAGTAGAATCATCAAATGAACCAACTGTAAATTGATCTTCAATTGTAGTTGCTTCAACCAATGTAGATTCTTCAATTAGTGGAGTTGAATTTGGATTTCTAGCTGAAGAATCGTCAAGTAATGAGTCTTGCCAGTGATTAGATTCTTCAATTGGTAAAGTTGGATACGGAAATCTCGCTTCTTCTTCATTTAAAGCATTTTGTGAGGGAATATTTTCTAAATTGTCTAGAGAACTTGGACTTTTTTGAGTTGAATTGTTATAAATCGAATCTTCCAAGTCTTTTCTTGTGGTTGCTTCAGCTACTACGGAAGAACCTTGCCAATGATTAGATTCTTCAATTGGTACAGTTGAATATGGATTACTGGCTTCTTCATTTGAGGCTGTTTCTAAGTGAATATCTCCTAGATCATCTAAGAAATTGCCTTCAAAGTCTGGAATGTTGGAATGAGGAGTGGAACTATCAAATGAGTCAGTAGTTTTGGTTGCTCCAGCTATTGTGGAAGAATTTTGCAAGTGATAAGATTCATCAAATCGGAAAGTCGGAACATTTTCTGTAGGAATATGTCCTAAATCATCTATTGAATTACCTTTATTGTCTGGATTGGTAAAAATTGTAGTTTTTACAGTAGAATCATCAAATGAGCCAATTGCAGAAAAATCTTTGCTTGTGGTTTTGTCGACTATTGAAAAAGAATCTTGCGAATGGTCAGATTCATCAATCCGGGTAGTTAAATGCTGATCACTGGCTTCTTCTCCATTTGAAGTATTTTGCAAGGGAATATCTCCTGAATCATCTAATGGATAGCCCTGAGCGCCTGGAATGTTAGGATTTAGATTTTTCTGAGTAGAATCATCCAACGAGCCAGTTGTAGAAGAATCTTGCCAGTTATTAGATTCTTCAATTGGTGAAGTTGAATATGGATAACTCGATTCTCCTCCATTCGATTTATTTTCCAAAGGAATATTTCCTAAATCATCCAATAAATGGCTTTCAGTGACTACTGGAATGTCAGAATTATTTGGACTTTTTTGAGTAGAATCATCCAACGAGCCAGTTGTAGAAGAATCTTGCCAATGATTAGATTCTTCAATTGATGAAGTTGAATCCGGATAACTCGATTCTTCTCCATTTGATTTATTTTCCAAAGGAATGTCTCCTAAATCATCCAATAAATGGCTCTCAGTGCCTACTGGAATATCAGAATTATTTGAACTTTTTTGAGTTGATTCATCTAATGAGTCAGTTGTAGAATAGTTTTGCCAATGATTAGATTCTTCAATTGGTGAAGTTGAATATGGATAACTCGATTCTACACCATTTGATTTATTTTCCAAAGGATTATCTCCTAAATCATCCAATAAACGGCTTTCAGTGCCTACTGGAATATCAGAATTATTTGGACTTTCTTGTGTAGATTCATCTAATGAGCCAGTTGTAGAAAAATCTTGCCAGTTATTTGATTCTTCAATTGGTGGAGTTGAATATGGATAACTCGATTCTTCTCCATTTGTTTTATTTTCCAAAAGAATATTTCCTGAATCATCCAATGGATGGCTTTCAGTGTCTGGAATTTCAAAATTATTTGGACTTTTTTGCGTAGATTCATCTAATGAGCCAGTTGTAGGATAATCTTGCCAATGATTAGATTCTTCAATTGGTGAAGTTGAATACGGATAACTCGCATCTCCACCATTTGATTTATTTTCCAAAGGAATATCTCCTAAATCATCCAATAAATGGCTTTCAGTGCCTACTGGAATGTCAGAATTATTTGGACTTTCTTGAGTAGATTCATCTAATGAGCCAGTAGTAGAAGAATCTTGCCAGTGATTAGGTTTTTCAATTGACGAACTTGAATAAGGATTGCTCGCTTCTCCTCCATTTAATTTATTTTCCGATGGAATATCTCCTAAATTATCCAATGAATGGCTTTCAGTGCCTGGAATGTTAGGATTTAGATTTTTCTGAGTAGAATCATCTAATGAGCCAGTTGTAGAAGAATCTTGCCAGTGATTATATTCATCAATTGGTGAAGTTGAATCTGATTCACTTGCTCCTCCTTCATTTGAAACATTTCCTGAAGAATTATCTCCTAAATCATCTAATGAATAATCTTCAGTGCTTGGACTATTATTTAGAATACTTTGAGTTGAATCATCAAATGATCCTCTTGTAGAAGAATCTTGCAAGTGATCAGATTCTTCAATTGTTGAAGTTAAATTATTTTCCAAAGGAATATCTCCTAAATCATCCAATGAGTGGCTTTCATTGTCTGGCATGTTAGAATTACTTGGACTTTTTTGAGAAGAGACATCAAATGAATCACTTGCTTCAACTACTGTAGAAGAATCTTGCCAGGGATTAGATTCCTCTGTTGGTGAAGTTGAATCTGATCCACTTGCTCCTCCTTCATTTGAAACATTTCCTGAAGGAATATCTCCGAAATCATCTAATGAATGGCTTTCAGTGCTTGGAATGTTGTAATTTGGACCATCAACAATTGCGTTAATTGTAGAAGATTCATTGTCTTCATTATAATTGACAGTTGTGGTTGTCTTCGAAGTGGATTCTTCACCTGGAATTATCATTGTAGATACTAATTTTGTTGTATGCGAGTCAGAAAAATCAACAGCTGTCTCTCCATTTGGATCAAAATTGGAAGCAACTGGAGTTTGCTCACTGCCTGCATTTTGGATGGAAGATTCAGTAGGCCCTTTAAATCCATTAGTTTCTGTTTGTTGAAGCCCTAAATCATCTTCATTTGTGCTTATCAATTTAGTAGTCATTTCAGCTCCATCTGGAGAATTATCTAACCAAGACTCAGTAGTTGATTTTGGGGTTGTGCCAGGAACAATCCAATTGTTTTCAGATTCAGTGTTTTCTTCAATAATTGTTACTTCAGTACTGTAGATTTTTACAGTAGTTTCAGGATTTGATAATGAGCTTTGAGTGGTCACTAATAATCCATTATTATTTGATGAAGAGTCTCCCCAAATGTCATATGTAACAGATTTGGTAGAATCACTAATTGTTGAAGTCCCAATACTACCATTGAATTGGTTGTTATTCGAATCTGGTGTGGTACTATCTTCAGATTTTGAATCAGTAGATTTTGTTGGTTCTTGAGGTATTATTGCAGTATAAATATCAACATTTAATCCAGGAGGATTGGGCAAATCTCTGACCTCAGGTTTCATTGAATCTTGATCTTCAATTGGTATCTGGACATTGCAGATTTGGTATGATATTTTTTCAGCTATTTTGGTACAAATTGTATCCAGGTTTTCTGCCATTACGCATTTTTGAATAACTTCATTAGAGCTTCCTAAAAGCAAGAAAACATCAGCAATAATACTTTGAGTGATACTTCTACTCCTACCTTTTGAATATTTCAACTCCAAACAGCCATAATTTAGTAGCTCCTTATTATCACTATGAGCTAAATTAGCAAATGGCACTGTGGATGAAAATATTGTACATCTTTCAAGCAAAGTTTCACTATTATTTTCGCATTGTTGCCCTCTACATGTTTTACATTTAGAGGCAAAACCTGCAAAGCAAAGCTATTTTTCTGGCACACAAAAATTTGAATATTACTTACAGTGAGGTGCCAGCAGTAACAAGAAAATCCAAAGCCTCATGCTTGCTGTAGTAAAATTCTATTTCTAGTTCACTTAACATTACCTACCGATTACCTGGCTTCAACTAAAGATAAGTTTATATACGTAGGATCTAAAAAAAATGGGCATGCAATTTGCTAATCCTTTTTTTTTTTGTTTAACTTGGGCTGGGTGCTGCTTGATATTAATTTGTGGATTATTTTTGATTTATTGAAAATTCCACAAACAAGCCCTGGTTAAATCCAGACTTTGGAGCAATGAATAGAAGATTTATCAGCAAGTTGTAGACAAGAATAAATCAGCTTAAGAGAAGCTGAGGAAAACAACATTAGTAAGGCAAATCGTTTTTTTTTTTTTTTGGGCTTCTTTATACTATGAAGCTTTTTTTTGTGCAGGTTAGTAACATTGAAAAAATTACATTTTATAATTTAATGGCAGCCAATATAAGTGAAGATAAAAGCAACATTTTAATTTTTTCTAATACGCTCGTTATCAAACTACTTGTCATTGAATAAATTTATTTGTAGAATGACTAAGTAAAGGAAATTTGTTTAAATATAAATTTAATCAGCTGAAAATATTGCACAAGGAGGTGCGTCATCTTAATCCCACGAATAATTTTTAATCTTACAAATTGGTAGGCTCTGGGGTGCGTCACAGAAATCTTGGGTTCATTTATTCCAAAATCAAAGTCCAATTATTACCACAATATCACAGTCAATCTTAAACTTAAAACTACTAACTAACACCGGCCTTTATATATCCGCAATCTATCCAGAATAAACGCGATAATATTTTTTTGTTCGAATAAAGCAGTATTTTCTAGATTTCAAGCTAGATTTTGTACATGCTGGCGAACGCGCCACACTATTCTAATAAGAGGGATTTCATTTATTTTTTGGATTCAAATTAAAACAATTTAAAGGTGTTTAAGGTTTATTCAAAAAGTCCAAAGTCAATTTGAGAAACTCGTTCGGCTTTTCGGCGTGCACCCAATGACCTGCGCCTTCAATGTACTTGAGTTCGGCTTTGGGGAAAAGTTTTTGGATTTTCGGAAAGTCACTTTTCCTAAAACAAACCACAACTAACTCCTGGAATTAATAGTTTAACTTAAAATACTGTAGATAATCTGATTTTCCACCGCCAATAAACAAAGAGGGCCCATCGAATTTTATATTGTGCACGTCAGGAAATGCTGCCAATTCCTCAAAGTGTTCTAGAAGGGCCCTATTATTGAACCTCCAAGAGTAACTACAAAAAAATTATATCCACAAACTCAATAGCAGTAGAATTTTATTCAAGTAGGTACCTTCCGTTGCTTTTCTGAATCAAATTCATCAAAACCAAAGTCATTTGATCTTTGTTTTTAACAATACGCGACAAAGAGTTGACAATGTGAGCTTTGGCCAATTGCAAAGACAAATTCGGAGGGAAACTTATTTGGTTTAAGGTTTTTAAAATTGCTGGAAATATTTTGAAGCTGTGGCTTGTAGTTATAGGAGACATTTCGCTTATTATTAGTTTTTCTATTAATTCAGGCTACAATTTAAGCCAATCAGTTAAGTCAAATGATTACAAACATCTTACGTATTTTAATCCAACTAGCATTCCTACGCGTCCACCAATATCGTGTCCAATTAAAGAAACTTTTTCCAAATTCATTTGTGTTAAAAACTGGACAACATCCATTACTAAATCATCGTAGCTGTTTGCTCTCAAATGAGGCGAATCTCCATGATTTCTCAAGTCAACTGCATAGACGAGTCGTTTAGGTTTGGAGCTTTCATGGTACCTTTTGCAAAGCGTATAAAAACTGGACATGGAACCCAACAGACCGTGTATAACTAATACAGGAGTCAATTTTTTGCCAACAATTTCGTCGGTACTTTGAAATGAAGCGTAGGCCAAGTCGCCAACATTTCTGTTGTTGCGGGGTTGCACTAAATAGTGGCGGATAGTGGTCTTGATACAACGAGTTGGTTTTAGTTTACAGAAATTTAATGTCATTTTTTTTTTTTTGAGTTTGAAGTTTATTTATTTGACTGGTGGCTTAATCAGATTATATCATATCTATATAAATTACTTACGGTAAAAAATCTGATATTCCACCTCCGATAAATAGAGTGGCTCCATTATAAGTGGCACTATTTAGTTCTGGAAAAGTGGCTATGTTATTGAAAGATTGTTCCAGAACTGGTACGTTGAGTCTCCATTTGTAACTGTTTTTTTTCGCTATTAGATTCGTCAGAATAAAGGATCTGACGTCTTTGCTGCTAAAAGTTTTAGCTAGTTGTTGATCAACTATGGCTCTTGCCTTGGTCAGCGATACATTTTCAGGCATTATTACACTGAAAAGTTTGGAACATTTTTATATCCCCTGCAAAAGGGTTTTGGTGCAATAAACCTCTACTTATACCTGTACCTTGACCTATACTTTTTCTTACACGTCTACTTTCAATAATAATTTTGGCTCATCTACCACTTTCTCTGTTTCTCCTAACAAACACTCCCCCATTTCTTAGTCACCCAACACTTTCCTATCATTAGATAGAACGGAATCACTCTCTCCTATAGTGGAGATGGTATTAGAATAAGAGAGGCAGGTGTTTGGAAGGAAATAGACAAAGAGGTGGGTGTGAAGAAAAGTGGGGTATTTGGAGAGAAAAAGAGAAAGTGGTAGATGTTGATAGGAGAGAAGGGTGTAGTAGATTAGTAATAGACATAGGGAGAAAAGGATAATGATTGAATAATTCTGTCAGGCGCCTGATTCTCAGAACCAGGGTTTTCACGAGTGATTTTGGTGCAGTTTTGCTCAAACACCCTATGTACCACTCTCTTCTACTAACCACCCCTCGTTATTCACACCCAACACTTTTCCACCAATAGACAGAATGCTAGAAAGAATAGCGGGTGTGTCTCTTATCCACTTCTTTCCATTCTATTCCATCACTCACTCTTTCCTACCAATTGAGTGAGAGGTGGGGCGAGTGAAGGATAAGAAATGGGGGTGTTTGAAAGGAAAATAGGGAGTCGTAGATAGAAGAGAGCGATGTTAGATCGGAAGACGAAAATTAAATGAAGAGTGAAGGTAAGGGGAAAAGGAATGATTGAAGGTGCCCTACCCATGATTCTCAAAACAAGAGATCTCATGAGAACATTTTTTCCATTCATATGAGATTTTGCATGGAACTGAGAAAGGCAAGGCACTTTTCGTCTCTTCCTTATTCACACCCAACACTGTTCTAATAGTGATTGTGGTTTCCCTTATCCCACACCCATCATCATTCATTTTCCTACCACTTGAGTCAGTGCTGGGGTGAGTGAGGATAAGAGAGGGCGGTGCTTGGAAAAAAAAAAGAGGGAGTGTTTAATTAGATAGGAAACAGAGATGTTTGATCTAAACCAAACTTGAACGAAGAGAAGGTAAAGGTAAGGGAAAGAGGAATGATTATGAAGGCACCCTGATTCTCAAAACAAGCGATCTCAAGAATTTTGTCTTTGTTTATGGGATTTTGCATGAAACTGAGAATGACAGGGCACTTTTTGTCCCTTCCTTATTCACACCCAGCACTGTACACCAATAGACAGAATGGTGAGTGCGGTTTCTCTTATCCACTCCTAACAATCACTTTTTCCTATCACCTAAGTGAGTGCTGGGTTGATTGAGAACAAGAGAAGGGGTGCTTGGAAAAAAAAGAGGGAGTGTCTGATTAGATAGGAGAGAGATATGTTTGATCTAAACTCAACTTGAATGAAGAGTAAAGGTAAGGGAAAGAGGAGTGATTGAAAACGCCTTGATCTGAAAACAAGCGATCTCATGAGAACTAATTTTTTTTTGTCTTTGTTACTGGTATGAGATTTTGCATGGAACTGAGAATGACAGGGCACTTTTCGTCCTTGTTTTTTTCACACTCAACACTTTCCTACTAATAGAGGGAATGGTATGGGTATGACCTTTATTATAATACACTCTCATCATTAACTCTTTCTTACCAATAATTGAATAAGTGGTGGGGTGAGTGAGGATGAGAAAGAGGCGTGTTTGGGAGGAAAAAGAGAGAAGGACTGGTTAGGGAGAGCGGGATGTATGATTGGAGATTAAATAAAGAGTGAAGTTAGAAGTAAGGAGGAAAGGAGTGATTAAAGGCACCTTGATTCCCAAAACAAGCATTTTCATGTCTTTGTCACTCATGTAAGATTTTGCATGGAACTGAGAACGACTGGGTACCTTTCCCTTTCTTATTTACTCCAAGACTTTCCTTACAATAGAGAAAATGGTGGGTATAGCCTCTCTTATCCACTCCCATAACTCACTGTTTCTTACCAATTGAGTGAGTGAGGATAAGAGAGGACAGTGAACTTCTTTTCCTAAATCAGTGGTCTAGGGACAATGTTCTTAACCATCTTAATCCACTGATATTCTCACCTTTGCATAGCATTAATCATTTTAGGAAGTTCTATCAATTGAGGACTAGCAGTGCTAGGCGATATGTCTACAATAATAAGTTTTTCCAACATTTCCGGCTGAAAACAATATAACCGAAATCATACAAGAAAATCCAGAGACCTGATTCACTTACATAAGTTAAAGCAAATAACATGGCACAGCGTCCCCCCATAGAATGCCCCATAAGCCTAATTTTATCAATACCATTTTTCAAAAGGAAATGCCTCACGTCTTCGACCAAGTGATAATACGTGTGCTCATTCGCATGAACACTTTCGCCATGATTTCTTAAATCTAAAGCTAATAACCATAATTGTAATTATTGTAACTAGAAATTCACAAAGTTACCTATCACTTTGCCTATTTTTTGGCTGTAATGTTTACACAAACTTGCCCAGTTGGATTTCGAGCCGAACAACCCATGGGCGATCACAAATGGGGCTTTTGTAGCTCCTAAATTCGAATTTTCGTAGGTTGTAGATGCTAAATCTACAGGTTTTATGTTGGCTGTAGAAGACAAACATCTCAGAGCTGTTTTGTATGGAAGGCCTTTACGAAAACTAATTTGTATCGACATTGTTACATAGGAATTAAATTTGTTAATAATAATAATTAATAAATAATGTTTAAAACAACAAAAAATTTAAACTATTTTGAGGTTATGTTAGGTTACATGATTATCGTCTTTCAAGGATAACATCGATTTTAAGCCAATTGGCGCGGCGCGTGGTATCGAATGACGTCACTAGTAGGCTGACAAGTTTGTTCTGTGTTTGTTAATCTTTCAAAGGACAAGACAAATTTCAAAAAAATTGTGCTTTTTTGAACATTTTGTGAGGGTGGTTGGTCAGGGAACTTTGAGCCTCAAGGTAAGCAGTTTTTGAAACCATTTTCCATGAAAGTGCACCCTACCGCACTCATTTGCAAGTGGAAAGAAACACTTTACAACATACCTATAGTGTGCGTAAATTTAGACATAGTAGGGCCAAGGGCGCCCACAGGGAGGGTCAGGGGGGGTCACTCGACCCCCCCTGGAAATCTCTTAAATTTTAATTATTTTCTATATATATATATATATTATTTTGTAGGTCCGATGATGCTCGTATGAGCGAAACGGACATACTTGAATTCGGCCACAAACCAGGTAGCTGCAGTAATCCTACCTTTGAATTCGACCAAATCATGAAACCCAACCTACTTCCCATAAAACTTACCTTATGATGTTGACAGATTTCGCATTGCATATGAGTTAATAAATCTAAAAAAGTGTAAATATGTATTTTGATGCGCAAAATAAAAAGATCTACCAAAATGACTATGGAAAGATTCACAGGCATTTGTTTTCTTATTCAGGTCTATCGAGGCATGTGCCATGTGTCGATGAGATAATCTGAAAATTCAACTAGAACTTCGTGATTCGGCTGAATAGCTAACAACTCGAAAACAAAGAAATCGCTAACTTCTTGATTCTCCAAAAACATCATTCCGAAACAATTGTGTGTAATGATTTACCGATTTCTGAATCTTTTTTTTTATATTCAATACTTAAGCCTAAGTTTTGGATCTTCCTCTACCATGCCTGTGATTTTAGCTATTTATAAGAAGTAAATAAGTTGATTTAATATCTATATCTCAGTGTACCGATTTGCATATTGATAAATTGTCACCGTTTTCCTTATTCCGGAACTGGTGAATTTTGTGGCTGAATTCAAGGATCCCGGAGCGAAACACATGTTACTATTAAGCCAATCAAATAATAAACAATCTGTGTGTTAACATGTGGCTTTTCAAATTATGTTTTTGCTTAAATTTTGCATTGCAAGTGTCACATTCAAATAGATAAATATCCGAATGTGTTAGTTTGTGAATCTTTAAATCGGCTTTCCATTTAAATTTTGATTTGCAAGTGTCACATTCAAAAGGATAAATATCCGAGTGTGTTGAAATGTGCCTTTGTAAATTACTTTTCTTCAAATTTTGCCTTGCAAGTGTCACATTCAAATGGATAAATTTCCGAATGTGTTAGTTTGTGTTTCTTCAAATCGCGTTTCCGTTTAAATTTTGATTTGCAAATGTCCCATTCAAAAAAATTAAATATCCAAGTGTATCAATATGTGTTCCTTCAAATCGCCTTCTCTTTTAAATTTTGCATTGTAAATGTTACATTTGAAATTCTCCTCATCCGAGTGTGTTGATATGGGGCTTCTCAAACTACGTTTGTGTTCAAATTTTGCATTGCATGTGTCACATTTAAAAGGATAAATATCAGACTTTGTCAGTTTGTGTCTCTTTAAACAGTTTTTTCCTTTGAATTTTGCTTTGCAAATGTCACATTCAAAAAGATAACTATCGAAGTCTGTTGATATGTGACTTTTCAAATTACCTTTTTGTTTAAATTTTGCTGATTTAAATTTTTCTTTAAATTTTGCATTGCATATGTTGCATTTAAAATTCTTCTCGTCCAAGTGTGTTAGTTTGTGTCTCTTCTGTTAATATGTGTGCGTTCAAATTACCTTTTCCTTTAAGTATTTTCTTACCAGTGTCGCATTTAAAAAGAAAAATATTCGAGAGTGTTGATATGTGACGCTGTAACTCATTTTTTTCCGCTTTGTAAGTGTTACATTCGAAAAAACAAATATCCAAATGTGTTATTAAATGATGTTTCAAATTTGATTTGGTTTTAAATGTAACATTGCAAGTGTAACATTGAAAATTGATGTCACTCGAATGTTATTTTTCCTTTATAAATATTCCTTTATTTGGATCTATCAATTCAATATCTGATTCTTTCTATTTCTTTTTTAATGTCATCCTCAGACATCCTCTATGTATGTAAACTTGGTAATTTTTTTCTTTTTTTTATGGTTTAAAAATCGGGTCTCTTTGAGAAATATGGACAAATTTTTTGATTTTCTAAATAGATAAAGGACTCAATCAATTCAAAATACCTATTCTATGAAAAATAACATTATTTTCTCCGTAATTGAATGTATTTTTTCCGAATTTGAATTTACATTTTCCTAAATAACAGTTACTTTTTCCGAAATTGAGGTTGAAATGGTGTAGAATGAGAAACTACCTCATGTGATACCTCCTTTGGAAGGTTTTTTATTCATCTTTGGAGGCATGCAGAAGCAGATAGAATTACAATAAACACATTATTTGGTTGATGTGTATCGGAGACTTTTATGGCAGATTTTTTTTGTTTAGAGATAGTCAAAATTACTTCACCATGTCCAACAGTATTTTAGAAAGCTTCAATTGTATTTTAGAATAGTCATTTGCTCATTTGTATTTAAGAAATCCCCCATGAATAATGGAATAAATTTCTTAAATACAAATGACTATTCTAAAATACAATTGAAGCTTTCTAAAATACTGTTGGAAATGGTGTATTTTTCGCGCCCCTGAGTAGTGAGACAATAGGTAATAATCAGAACTTGGACTATCGATCTGCTTTGATAATTTTCCAAGTGAAGGGATGGGAGTTGTGACATCACTGGTAGGCCCAGAATCCTTCAAATAATAACCAACTACATACATACTTTTAAAAAAAAATGTATTTCCCTTTATTTAATCCTAAACAAATTTAATGCAGGCCCAACTAAATTAATGGCAGAATATGCCACTAAAATAACAATAAATCCTGTATTAGTGGCGTGCGATGACTGAAACGACCCGAAATAGTTCCTGAGGCCGAAACACAAAGTCGCTATCCCCAAACAATAAGTAGCTATGCCCAAAAAAATGTGGCAACTTTTCACTAGCTGCAACTTTGGCAAGGCCTTTGCAAATGCAACAAAAAGACCTCCAATTACTGTTAAAAATGTTAGCAAATAGGTAACCAAACCCAAAATCCCATGAGTTGAATTAAAATGGGCTCTATTGTTATCTGTCTTGTCTTGAATTTTAATGGAAACTCCTGCTATAAGCATCAGTCCAGCAACTAGCATTAGAATCCCATGCATCAATCCTCTGGATTTTCTAGAAAAGCCAAGAACAAAAACGTTGCCAGGATTTAAGGTGGAAATTGCTATTGCCATCAAAGCGGATATCTATAAGAAGTTGTGGTCAATTATTTTTGTTTTTGAATAGTATTGAATTCTTACCCCAAATGTGCTGAGGAACACGTGCCAAATGTGCAATCGGTTCCAGTTTCCATTAAACGCCATAAGCCATACTGTTGAAGTTACAAAAACTGCTAGGAGGATGTTGAAAATTGCTTGGGAAAGTATAAAACTTCTTTGGCGAAGGCTGATATTTTCGTAGCTAGACATTTTTTTGAGGAATGACTAATCTTAGGTATTTCATAAAACTATAAGCCTTTTACTTATTTATGATAGATTGATACTTATTTTTTTTTTTATCAGTACTTTTATTGTTATTAGTTGTGCTTAAAAATGAGTGATTAAAGATAAAAAATATGATAATTTTTATTAAACATTTATTAGGTAAGTAAATATACACCGAAAATTCAACTCGTACAAATCGTCATTTAAATGTCTAATAAGTATACTACCGCAATTTACAAAATGTACAATAAATATATTTTAAAATTGTGCTAAACATTACAAATATTAATGGGTGTATCAATTAATTAATAATAATTACTCTTTGGACGAAATAGTTTTGGAAAATAATTTAAGTAGTGGGTCAAAATCGGGCCGCTGGGGTGGACCTGGGCAAGGTTGACGTCACCGCAGTCATTCTTGGATCTTTTATTGAAGGCTAAATAGAAAAAGAATTAACAATTATTATGTTATAAAATTCTTTATTTTTGGGATAGAATTTTTGTTATATTGGAAAGCCACTCATTATTGTATAAGTAGATCTTTGGATCGAGACTTGCTCAATCCAGGACAAATAATACATCAGGAGCAGATTAAGCCTTTTTTCGCCCCTGTGCGATTAAAATTATTTTACCCCCTCCCAGGCTCTGGCTTATATCATTTTATTTTATTTTGTCATTTGAAGATTCTTCAATATAAAAAAGAGAAATAGGTCTTAGTATATTGAATTAAAAATGGCATGAGACAAGTTGATTAGTGGCAAGTCACTTGTCTTTTCATCTGATGATGTGTTTCTTAGATAGTCTTTAATCCTCCTTAGGGTGTAAAAGGAACTTTCTCCAGACGCGTTAGTTGATCGAAAGTATGATGGAAGGCAAAAATACATTCTACATTTTCTCAGACTTTAAAATTTGTAGAAGTTTTCCCAATTTTAAAAGTTTCATCTCTGCGCCCCCGATGGTTTTTGAGGTAAACATTCTAAAATAGAAGCTTGTCAATGTATTCATTTTTGCCTAATTTAGAAAATTCATAACTTTAGTATTAGCGGTTTGATCAGCTTGAATTTTTGGTATGTTTTACCTCAAACCTCCAAAAATAGAGCCTCAAAGTTTCATATCTGCGCCCCCCATAGTTTTTGAGGTAAAAATTCCAACATAGAGGTTTGTCAATGTATTCATTTTTGCCTAATTTAGAAAATTCGTAACTTTATTATTAGTGGGTTGATCAGCCTGAATTTTTAGTATGTTTCAGCTCATACCTTCAAAAATAGAGCCTCAAAGTTTCATCTATATGCCATCGATAGTTTTTGTGGTAAGAATTCCAAAATAGAGGCTCGTCAATGTATTCACTTTTGCCTAATTTAGAAAATTTGTAACTTTATTATTAATGAGTTGATCAGCCTGAATTTTTTCTACGTTTTACCTCAAGCCCTCAAGAATAGAGCCTCAAGGTTTCATCTATATGCTCCCGATAGTTTTTGAGGTAAAAATTCCAAAATAGAGGCTTGTCAATGTAATCATTTTTACCTAATTTTGAAAAGTAACTTTATTACTAGTGGGTTGATCAGCCTGAATGTTTAGTAAGTTCCACCTCAAACCTTCAAGAATATAGCTTCAAAGTTTCATTTATATGCCCTCGATAGTTTTTGAGGTAAAAATTCCAAAATAGAGGCTTGTCAATGTATTCCTTTTTGCCTAAATTAGAAAATTTATAACTTTATTATTAGCGCTTTGATCAGCTTGAATTTTTAGTATGTTTTACCTCAAACCTGCACGAATAGAGCCTCAAAGTTTCATCTCTGCGCCTCCGATAGTTTTTGAGGTAAAACTTCCAAAATAGAGGTTTGTCAATGTATTAATTTTTGCCTCATTTGGAAAATTCGTAACTTTATTATTAGCGGTTTGATCAGTTTGGATTTTTAGTATGTTTTACTTCAAACCTTCAAGGATAGAGCCTTAAAGTTCCATCTCTGCGCCTCGATAGTTTTTGAGGTAAAAATTCCAAAATAGAGGCTTGTCAATGTATTCATTTTTGCCTAAATTAGAAAATTCATAACTTTATTATTAGCGCTTTGATCAGCTTGAATTTTTAGTATGTTTTACCTCAAACCTGCAAGAATAGAGCCTCAAGTTTCATCTCTGCGCCTCCGATAGTTTTTGAGGTAAAACTTCCAAAATAGAGGTTTGTCAATGTATTCATTTTTGCGTAATTTAGAAAATTCGTAACTTTATTATTAGCGGTTTGATCAGCTTGAATTTTTCGTAGGTTTTACCTCAAACCTTCAAGAATAGAGCTTCAAAGTTTCATCTCTGCACTCTCGATAGTTTCTGAGGTGAAAATTCCAAAATAGAGGTTTGTCAATGTATTCTTTTTTACCTAATTTAGAAAATTCATACCTTTATTATTAGCGGTTTGATCAGCTTGAATTTTTGGTATGTTTTACCTCAAACCTCCAAAAATAGAGCCTCAAAGTTTCATATCTGCGCCCCCCATAGTTTTTGAGGTAAAAATTCCAACATAGAGGTTTGTCAATGTATTCATTTTTGCCTAAATTAGAAAATTCATAACTTTATTATTAGCGCTTTGATCAGCTTGAATTTTTAGTATGTTTTACCTCAAACCTGCCAGAATAGAGCCTCAAAGTTTCATCTTTGCGCCCCCGATAGTTTTTGAGGTAAAAATTCCAAAATAGAGGCTAGTCAATAATGTATTCATTTTTGCCTAATTTAGAAAATTCATAACTTCATTATTAGCGGTTTGATCAGCTTGAAGTTTTAGTATGTTTTACCTGAAACCTTCAAGAATAGAGCCTCAAAGTTCCATCTCTGCGCCCTCGATAGTTTTTGAGGTAAAAATTCCAAAATAGATGCTTGTCAAAGTATTCATTTTTGCCTAAATTAGAAAATTCATAACTTTATTATTAGCGGTTTGATCAGCTTGAATTTTTACTATGTTTTACCTCAAACCTCCAAGAATAGAGCCTCAAAGTTTCATCTCTGCGTCCTCGACAGTTTTTGAGGTAAAAATTCCAAAATAGATGCTTGTCAAAGTATTCATTTTTGCCTAAATTAGAAAATTCATAACTTTATTATTAGCGGTTTGATCAGCTTGAATTTTTACTATGTTTTACCTCAAACCTCCAAGAATAGAGCCTCAAAGTTTCATCTCTGCGTCCTCGACAGTTTTTGAGGTAAAAATTCCAAAATAGAGGCTCGTCAATGTATTCATTTTTACCTAATTTAGAAAATTCGTAACTTTATTATTAGCGGTTTGATCAGCTTAAATTTTTCGTATGTTTTACTTCAAACCTTCAAGAATAGAGCTTCAAAGTTTCATCTCTACACTCTCGATAGTTTTTGAGGTGAAAATTCCAAAATAAAGGTTTTTCAATGTATTCATTTTTGCCTAATTTAGAAAATTCGTAACTCTATTATTAGTGGGTTGATCAACCTGAATTTTTAGTATATTTTACCTCAAACCTTCAAGAATAGAGCCTCAAAATTTCAGCTCTGAGCCTCCGATGGTTTTTGAGGTAAAAATTCCAAAATAGAGACTTGCCAATGTATACATTTTAGCTAATTTAGAAAATTCGTAACTTCATTATTACCGGTTTGATAAGCTTGAATTTTTAATATGTTTTACCTCAAACCTTCAAGAATAGAGCCTCAAAGTTTCATCCTCTGAGCCCCCGATAATTTTGAGGTAAAAATTTCAAACTAGAGGTTTGTCAATGTAATCATTTTTGTCTAATTTAGAAAATTCGTAACTTCATTATTACCGGTTTGATCAGCTTGAATTTTTAGTATGTTTCACCTCAAACCTTCAAGAATAGAGCCTCAAAATTTCAGCTTTGAGCCTCCGATAGTTTTTGAGGTAAAAATTCCAAAATAGAGACTTGCCAATGTATACATTTTGGCTAATTTAGAAAATTCGTAACTTCATTATTACCGGTTTGATAAGCTTGAATTTTTAATATGTTTTTACCTCAAACCTTCAAGAATAGAGCCTCAAAGTTTCATCTCTGAGCCCCCGATAATTTTTGAGGTAAAAATTTCAAACTAGAGGCTTGTCAATGTAATCATTTTTGTCTAATTTAGAAAATTCGTAACTTCATTATCACCGGTTTGATCAGCTTGAATTTTTAGTATGTTTCACCTCAAACCTTCAAGAATAGAGCCTCAAAATTTTAGCTGTGAGCCCCTGATAGGTTTTGAGGTAAAAATTCCAAAATAGAGACTTACCAATGTATACATTTTGGCTAATTTAGAAAATTCGTAACTTCATTATTACCGGTTTGATAAGCTTGAATTTTTAATATGTTTCACCTCAAACCTTCAAGAATAGAGCCTCAAAATTTCAGCTCTGAGCCTCCGATAGTTTTTGAGGTGAAAATTCCAAAATAGAGGCTAATCAATGTATTCATTTTTGTCTAATTTAGAAAATTAGTAACTTTATTATTAGCGGTTCGATCAGCTTGAATTTTTTAGTATGTTTTACCTCAAACCTTTAAGAATAGAGCCTCAAAGTTTCATCTCTGCGTCCTCGACAGTTTTTGAGGTAAAAATTCCAAAATAGAGGCTTGTCAATGTATTAATTTTTGCCTCATTTGGAAAATTCGTAACTTTATTATTAGCGGTTTGATCAGTTTGGATTTTTAGTATGTTTTACTTCAAACCTTCAAGGATAGAGCCTTAAAGTTCCATCTCTGCGCCTCGATAGTTTTTGAGGTAAAAATTCCAAAATAGAGGCTTGTCAATGTATTCATTTTTGCCTAAATTAGAAAATTCATAACTTTATTATTAGCGCTTTGATCAGCTTGAATTTTTAGTATGTTTTACCTCAAACCTGCAAGAATAGAGCCTCAAAGTTTCATCTCTGCGCCTCCGATAGTTTTTGAGGTAAAACTTCCAAAATAGAGGTTTGTCAATGTATTCATTTTTGCCTAATTTAGAAAATTCGTAACTTTATTATTAGCGGTTTGATCAGCTTGAATTTTTCGTAGGTTTTACCTCA